AATGAGCCCATTTCACAAATTTGGGCCTAAATCAAACACAAAACCTTAAACAAGCCCAAGCAATACAAATAAATCCAACCCAACTGAAATTAAGCCCAAACCCAAGTAATAACTAATACCCAACCCACTTAATTAATAACCCAATTAATTGAATTAATAACCCAGCCCAAACCCATAATCCATTACAACCGACCGAACGTTGTGGAAGACGGCGACTGGGTTGGTGGCTGGCTCGACGAGGGACTGGGTTAGAAGACGGTGACTGGGTTGGTGGACGGCGATTACTGGAGCAGCCGGCAGTTTGCTGGCGGCTGTTGGCGGTGGCGAGGCTGGGTTCCGTTCCGGGCAGGTTGGTGGAAGATGGCGGCTGAATGTTTCTTGTTTTATTTTTTATTTTTTTATTTTTTTGCTGCAACAGATTCTGGAATGGTTGCTGTCGGTAAATTTTCAGTTTGTGAGTTGGGAAGGTGGAAGCGGTGGAGGAGAAACTGAATGATTCATTTATAGGCGAAGGCGGCTGGTGATTGTCTGGCTGGTTGTATCGGCTTCTGCTGGTCGTGGGGTGTGATAGGAAAAAGCCTTTGTTTCAATTGTTGGCTGTATTACCGGTAAGGTGATTGTCTGTCGAGGGCGGGGCTGGGGTCTGCAGCAAACTGAGTATTGGCTGCAGCAACGGGTCCTGTATTGATGCTGAGTGAATTGCTGTCCAGGGTTTGCTCTGATACCAATTTGATGTAGGGAGGTTAATAGTTCAGTAAATAACAGGAAGAGATGGGGGAGGGAAGAGAAGAAGAAGACAGAGACGGGAAGAGAGGGGAACGGCTGCAAAGCCAACTCTTTATTTCATCAAATTCATCAATCCAAAATAACAAACCAAGATAGGTTTAAATAATAAAAACCTAGAAATATAGGGCCAAGCCCATTATTTAAGTCCTAACTAAAATACGTAAACTTAAATAAAAGTCCAACTGAAACAATAATAAAAGGATGTCCTCATCAGGACGCACCTGAGTCAATAATCTAAGGAACTGTGGATTGAGTAGTTGTATGTACTGCTTTCGAAGAATTACCTTTGTGAGCTAGTGAACTTGACGGACCCGATGATTGGAAACTTGAAAACATTTTATATAGTTGCTCCAATTGTTCAGGATTGAATGCATCGCTCTGAGTGGAGGTACTCTTCTCTTCGATAGGATCAACAACCGCTTGGTAACCTCAATTCCTGTTATTTTGTCTTGGTTTCAGTCAGATGGTTTTCCATGTAGTTCTTAACATGTATCTGCTTTATGCCCCGGTTTACGACAGTGATCGCACCATGGATGTCCCTTTTGTTGTTTTGGGCCGAACCCATTAGTGGGTGTTCCTTTGGAGCCCAATTCGATTGATCCAAGTCCTTTAGCTCTATTTAATGCTGGCCCTCCAGGTAATTGGGCTGAACGAAACCCTTTAGTTAATTGGATCGACCCACCAAGCCCACGTTCTGTTGAAAATAACGCAGACCCAGTTTCCTCTTCAAGCCCGGTGGTCTTACCTTCTCGAAGCATCACTCCTCGTCGGTTTTCTTCTCTGCGAACCTCAGCGAAGGCTTCGCGAAGTTACGGTAGGGGTTGCCGGCCAAGGACTCTTTCTCTCACATCATCTAATTCCCTATTAAGCCTGGCCAGGAACTCGTATACCCGTTCGTTTTCAATTTTCTTTCTCTACCGTACACTGTCGGTCGGACAGTCCCATTCTTCGTCAACATTGTGATCGAGTTCCTACCTGAGTGAAGACATCTCCAGGTAGTAGTCTGTCACATCTCTCTCCCTTTGCTTCGTCTGCCAGAGTTTCGTTTTGATCTCAAAATTTGTGAAGAATTTTCAGCATCTGAATACATGTTACGAACAGTATCCCACACATCCTTTGCTGTCGGTAGAAACAAGTAAGTCTTTCCAATCAGAGGTTTCATGGAATTAACTAGCCACGCAGTCACTATTGAATTTTCCGACCTCCATTTTTGTAGAAGTCCGACGTCGGTTGAGGCGGGCTTTTTCTTTTCTCCGGTAAGATAACCTAGCTTTCCTTTTCCGTCGACGATGAGTTTTATTGACTGAGCCCATTTTCGATAATTTTTTTTGTTCAACTTTTCGACTGTGAGTTGAAAGGAGGAATTGTCGAGTCCACCGGAGCCCAAGGTGGAAAGGGATTCAAGTTCACTGTTTTGTGTTTCTGAGGTTGTCGACTCCTTGCTATTGGCGGTGTTTTCTTCCATTGATTTTGTGGTTAGGTAGAAATACACCCTAGCTCTGATACCACGTAAATTGGAACTAAAGAATAGATGAATTATACAACACTTTCTCACACTTTAATTGTAATCTTAGAGCCTCAATATATAGCATAGGAAGAGGGACCAACAATGTAACTTCCTATACATGGAAAAGAGAAAAATTACCTAATCTAAACAAGGTTATACAATCATACATAATTAAATCCTAATTATCCCATAATCTCGGAATATCTACAATTCTTAATATGTGCAGATATGCCTGCGGACACGATTGAAGAGGAAAGAAACATGTGTACATTTGTCCTAATAATTATTCCTTTCATGCAGGCTGAAATCCTCGCAAGATATAAACCCGTTATCAATTCAACATTGCTGATACCCAATCTGAGGCAAGTGGAAGAGATGGTTACAAAATCTCTAGAATATTTCAAGAGCACTCGACATATTATCCTTTACTATGAGGACATAATAAAGAACAGAACTGTAAGATACCTTACATTTTATTTCCTAAATAGACGTTTCACGCATGTTTGGATGGGAGTGTTTCGTATTTCACTGGATGTCTGGGCAGTATTAAGGAAAAAAAGAAGCTAGAATCTTGTTTATTATATCAAGCAGTGCAATACTGCTTGCCAAACATGCATTTAAATTTTTTGCCTTTAAACTCACATTTTTCTTTATTTATCTGTCAGAAACTGTTAGACGTTCAAGATTTTCTACGAGTTCCTCGAATGGATCTAAATAGTCGCCAGGTGAAGATACACAAAGGGTCGTTATCTTTGCAAGTTCAGAATTGGGATGAAGTTGAGAAGACACTCAAGGGAACACAGTACGAGAGCTTTCTATACGAAGACTACAAAATGTCATAGCCAGTACATATTGTATGTATAGTCAGTTGCTTAGCTTATTTATTCATTTTTTTCCACTCCAGAAGCTAACCGAGCTTTTCCCTGTTAAAGTTTTGGCCACAACTATACAAGTTGCTTTCTTTTCGTTTTGACTTTGGAAGTCATCTGTAGCTTAAGCTGGATTAAGAATGGAATTTGTAGTCGTACCTTGTTATATTGATTTGTTCAAAGGAATATGCATGTATATACACTGGATGCCCCTATCTGTACTCTGATTGGACAAATTCTTGGCATTTAGAATAATTCCTTTTTATGCCTTATGTGCTGTAAATAATAGTTTCACTCTGCAACCACATTGTAGTATTATATTGTATTGGGGTTTATGATAAGGATTATGCTCCATTTACAAACTTTTTTAACAAAATTGTTTACCCACTACTCACAATAGGAGGTGGAGTGAGCCAACAATTTTTGAATTCACATAGGGGCCGCTTGTTTATGAGAGTAAGTAATTCATTTTGCACGCATTTGTTTGTACATATATATTTATCCTTATGATAATAATGGGGGCCTCCCCTCTTTTTGTAAAAAAACTTAGAAACCTCCCCTTTTAACATAAATTCTTTATTCTGCCCTCACCTCCTTGTGCTCTGTATTTATACACTCGTTGTCTTAATTTTAAGGTTTTTCTATATATACATTAGGTTTTACACCGTGGTGTACATAATGTTCAAGTGAAATTTTATTATTGGCCAGTAAAAAGATTGTTTTTCCATCGGCCAATGATGAATTGCCACTTGGACATTATGTGCACCAGGGTGTACAACTTGATGTACATATAGAATAATTCTAATTTTAATTTATATAAAATAAACTGTTTTAATTTTAAAAGTTTGTTTTTTAATGTTTTTGTACAGAATGATTCCATCTTAATAAATTTTGTAATTGTGATTTCTCATGATTTTTTTTCATATTTAATGTTAACATAACATTAGTTAATATTTTAGTGTAAAAGTCAGGAGTATAAAAATATAAGATTAAATGAAATACTATTAAATCTGTAATAAAAAAATATTCAAAGAATTTTCAGTTAACTTTATCATGTTATTCGAGAACATTTATTTATTGTTTTTGAAACTCAAAAAGAATCTGCCATCATAATATGTGAACAACCAATAACAGTTTATATTTATTTCATGAATAATAAATTGTGTGTTATTTCTAAGTTATTATAGAGGAAGTAGATAGCTTTCGTAAATAAGAGCTCATTTAAATTTATCTGTTTAGTAGCAATTTTTCATCCAAAAAAATCAATTTTTTGACCATCATTTTACTATTTCAGTCATCATTTTTTATTTTTTCACTCACAAATAATATCTATTTTTCTCTCTAATGATCAAAAAATTAATTCTCATAAACTTAAAATTTCGATAATTAATTTTGGTATTAGATTGGACCTCTAGAACATATTAATCATGGACAATCTTTGTTGACCCAAACATTTTGACCAGCACCAACAGGCCCTAAATTTGGGCATGCTAACCATTTATCAAAGATAACCCTAATTTGTCTTTGACCCAGTCAAAGGTAACTTGTACCCAGTTCCAATACAGTCAAAGTACAATTCACTGAAGCACAAGTTGATCGATGGCTTTCGATTTCCTACACCAATACAGGCCCCACATTCACCACCGTGTATGAGCTGGAACAACAAGTGGCTTCTCATCGTTAATCTACGGTCATTATTAGACCTCGACAATCTAACGTTTTAAGCTAAGACCTCGTTTAAATCAATGTGCCATGTTTAAATCTGCCCAGAAAATTTAACTGGAGGTCATTCACTTTACATATTTGTTTCGATTTGATCATTTGATTTATTTTTGTTTTCAATTTGACAATTCAATCTATAATGATTACTAAAAGTGATGGAATGTATTGACATGATTGACAAAAATAGTGACCTAACAAAATGAACCAAAAATAGTTTGCATCATTTTCCACTTTACTCAAAGGTGTGAGATTTTTGTATTTTTTTTGGATCCAAAAGAACTTGTGATGCCAAAAATAAAGTTGGTTCATGAACGCAATTTCTTAGGTTAAAAAATTGGTTAGTTTTAATGATAATTATAGATGAAATAATTGAATTGAAATAAAATATATGTTGAATGATCAATTAAAACAAATTGACATAAACAAAAACTACCTTCATTGGATCCTCCAACTATAAGATGCTATTTTATTTTTGGTAGAAAGAAAGTCAAAATTTTACATTACTATTAATTTATCACTGGATTTTAACTCTAGAAGATTACTTGAATTGGGTCGTCAAATTTAAAGAAGTTGACACATATATCAACTTTTAGCTAGAATGTCAGTTGAGTTCTTAAGCTTCTACATTTAGGGTTTGTTTGAACCCTATTTTTTTGGGATAATATATTTTATAATACTGATTTTTTTAAGAATGTTTGGTTAAAAAGTAGAAAAAAGTTTTGAATTCAAATGTAAAAATAATTTTATTGAGAGAACGTTGTAAAAAATGAGTTCGAAAAAAATAATTCTGAAATCAAATAGGAACGTAGTAGACAAAAGTTTGAAACTTTTGAAAGGATCTACAATCTAATCTAGTATAATGTTTAAACTCGATTAAGAATACAAGTTAAGTGATCAAATTTAAATAAATAATGATTATCTTTTAGGATTTGAGTCGGAATCTAAGGTTTTTTGTTTAAATCAGGGGCTGAAGTTCACGATCTAATCTAATTATGAGGGTCGAATAGCTAATGATTTTCATTATAAGAGTTGGGTAACTAAAATGATATAAACTTGTAATTGGAGGACCACGTACTAAATTTTCTCTACAAATCCACCCTAGATCCATAATACTTCTTCCTTTATTAATCTCTAAGCCGACTTTGACCTCCCTCTCTTTCCTTCTCTTTGAAGCCTGGTTTTTCCGACCAGGTACCTCTACTCTCTCTCTCTCTATAATACACGGCTTGAGGGAGAGGTAATTCGGAGAGATTTTTTAAAAATGAACGGCGGAGATTCCAATGAACAGCATCAGCAACAGCAACAGCAGCAGCAGCAGCAATGGATGGCGATGCAACAGTACCAGCAGCAGTGGATGGCGATGCAATATCCGGCGGCGGCAATGGTGATGCAGCAGCAGATGATGTATAATCAGCATTACGTGCCGTACTACCATCACCAGCAGCAACAGTACCAACTGCACCAGCAGCCGCTGCAGCAGAAAGAGAATAATCAGATTCAAAGCTCAAGTGAAGATAACAAGACGATCTGGATTGGTGATCTCCACCAGTGGATGGATGAAGGTTATATACAGTCTTGCTTTGCTCAAACCGGCGAGGTATTGTTTTTTGTTTATTCTGACTTCTCTTGTGGATTTGTTGAATAATTACTAGTTGTGTTTTATGAAGTGAATGATTGTGTGGAGTAATTAATGCGATCTAATACTTCTTTTTCCTTTAATAGAAGTCTACAATTTGCTTTCTTGAAATAAAACGTCAGCAGATTTCAGATCTCATTTAATACATGTGGCAAAACAGAGAGGAGATATATGTACCTCTTTATCATAGAAAGGTTTTGAATTCTAAATAATTCTGTCTAGGGCAAGATGTTAAAAAGCATTTGAAGGTGGGGTGAATGCATCATGCTGATAAGTCTTTGGCTTTCCCTTTAAATTCTTGATTAAGGTTTTGATCTTTTGAATGATTGATGTGTGTACAAATGTACAGGTAACTTTAATTGAGTTTTTTGGCCTTCACTCAAATCTATCTATACTCGAATTTGTCAATTGACACTTAAAATTTATTATCTGACCTTTGATTGAAGAGTGAATATCATCTGAGTGCATTAAATTCTTTTTAGGGAGAGTCCAGCTTATAGTCCATTAGCAGTACATTATATGTCACTTTTTTTTTTTTTTTTTATAGTTTTTGTCACTTTTTTGACTTTTTTTCCCTTTTTTTTTTTTTTTTTTTTTTTTTTAAAAGTGTATGTTTTGTCCTTTTTTAATTATTTTAGTTCTTGGAGATCTGAATCAGAAATAAGATTTTGAATTGTACTTTCAGTGTGATATAAAGGGGTATATATATGAATTCTTTTTGAAGACTTGAGGCATATTATTGTCTTAGGTATGATACTTCTTTCCTTTTATTTGACTTTCCTTGGTAAAGCATCTAACAAATAAGAAACTACTGTAAGATAAAGGCAGCTTCATCCTGTTATAATTGTACGCAGTATAGAGCCATCGTTGCCTAACTGTAGCATCTCAGGCACTACAGGTAGATAGAGGGGTTATCACTCCCTTGTCCTATGTGCTCAGCATTCATGAGTGATGAGTCCATGAATAGACTGTGTTTCCTTGTCTTCCTGCCTTTTACATGTTCATTTGACAATATTTTTATCCTGTATTTAAGTGATTACCATGATCTTAGAAAGAGGATAGGGCAATGATCCAACATGTATCTGCTACATCCACACTGGTTTTATAGATAAATCTTTGTTGGCAAGCTGTTTGCTTATAAAGGTCAATGGCATTACAGGACACACCTATCATGCTAGCAACTGAGCTATTTCCCTATGCTTTAGAACACATATCAGCAATTTATTACACATTTTCCAGGTGCCACCAATGGACTAGAGGTGGAACAAGTATTTTACAACTTTTCATGCGCCAACTATATGCCTCATATGTGCTTGACTAGGAAAAATTCTAAGAGGAATTTATTGAGCCTCGGAACAAGCTGCATCTAATAGGGTGTTGATGATAATTTTGTGTTAGAGTTCTGGTGGCTGCACTGGTGATTGTCATCTGAGGCATGATAACTAGAATAGGATATAAGTGAGAGAAGTCTTATTTTTTCTGTCTACACTGTAGACCCCTTTCATCTGAAAATTGTAAAATTTTGATTACCATATTTGATAAAGTTTTACCTTTACCCAAAAAGAGGAAAAAAGAAAGGGAAAGACTGTTTGTCTTTGAAATGCAGACAAACAAACAACCCATCCTAGTAAGTAATAAGCTTGCTATTTGTAATCCGAGTTCAGGTAACGTTTTCTTTGGAATGCTTCATTCTTTATAGTTTACCTTATTGGGAGGGTAGGTGGGGGCAAAAATTACATTTCAAGCTATGAAGCATGGACACTCCTACTAGAACAGTGCGTCCATGTCTAACACTTGTCATGTTGAACAACGACACTCTTCGAACACTCCAGTACGTTTCCGAGAAGTCACGTGCTGTGTCATCCTATTTATAGTTTTTAAAATTTCGACTCTCAAGGATACTTTAGGCACACTCTTCGGGCACGTTTCGGACATGCTATTTGTCGTGTTCCATATTAAATAAAGAGATAATACATACACATGTAAATATTAAAGAATTTAAATCGATGTATTCTGACGTATTTGTGTCCTTTTTTCAAATCACATGTCAGCGTGCTGTGTGCCTGTGTCCTTGCTTTTAAGTTTTAAAGGAAAAGATTGTGCTGCAGTAATTGAAATTGGGATCTGTTTTAAAGGAACAGGCACTGCCTCATTTTCTTATGTTTCCAGATTCCAGTCATAAGCACCTCTTTCCATTTGTTCCTTACAAGAGTTACATAGTATTGTAATCGTGACTCAATTTTACAGTCTGTAAGAAAGAGTTAATTCTCAACAGGGAAAAATATATTATCCTCCGGAAAAGGGTAAAATATCCTAGATTCGCTGTAAATTGTCATTTGTATAAAAGCAGTTCCCAATTGCTAACTCCCTACTGAGATTGTTTCACCATATGATAAATTGCAAAAAGGGCAATGACATGCAACTATTGCCATTCTCTTTATGTTGAATGCTTTGGGAATACCTCCTACAAGTCAAGTACTGGAGAGCATCATGTTTCTAGTAGCACTCTATCAATGCTGTTGTATATAGACAAGTATTTGTGTGTAGCGCGCACAGATGATTTATCTTTGTTACTTATGGTTTTTTGCCTCGTATGATTTCTTTTATCATCTTTGTTGGACAATGTAAATTGTTGAGAATGAATAGTGCATACTCATTGTAATTAATTTTGTTTGAGTTAAATGTCTTAGGTACCTTAAAGAAAAAACAAAGAAAAATATAGCACTCTGTAAAGGCATGAACATATGAGATCTATGAGATCCATAAGGTGTAATTTCTCCATCTTCTTGTTTGCATGATGCATATGGATGTTGCTCTTCTTCGTGGTTGATATGTGGCAGCAGAATCATAAAATTGAGACTGAAACTTCTATCATGTGCTGAGGATATCACTTAAGCCTTTTTCATTTTAGGTTTAGCACCTGTTAGATCATGATCACTTCTGATATACAAAAAACATGCAGGTTCTTTCTGTTAAAGTTATTCGCAATAAGCAAACTGGTCAGTCGGAGAGATATGGATTTGTTGAGTTCAGTACTCATGCAGCTGCTGAGAAAGTACTTCAGAGCTACAATGGTACCATGATGCCAAATATAGATCAAACATTTCGCCTAAACTGGGCAGCCTTTAGCTCGGGTGATAGGCGGCCTGATGCTGGCTCTGGGGGCTTTGGCGGCTCTGGTGGCTCTGGCTCTGATCTATCAATATTTGTTGGTGATTTGGCTTCTGATGTTACTGATGTGCTATTACATGAAACTTTTGCTAGTAGATATCCATCGATCAAAGGTGCAAAAGTAGTTTTTGATTCAAATTCTGGCCGCTCAAAAGGTTATGGCTTTGTGAGGTTTAGTGATGAAACTGAGAGGACACGAGCCATGACCGAAATGAATGGTGTGTATTGTTCTAGTAGACCTATGCGAATTGGTGTTGCAACCCCCAAGAAACAATCGCCTCAGCAACAGTATTCTTCACAAGGTGTAACCTGATAATTCCTTTTCTGCAATTTTTTTGTCCTCTCTTTTCTATGTTATACCTCGTGTTTTTTCATGAATATGTAGTCTTGAAAGCTGTGGAATTTTTCTAAAGAGGTATTTTTCCTCTGATCATTAGTCTTATGAACTCAAAAGGTTCTCTCTTAAAGAAAATTCATTTACACGCTGTCAATTAGAACTGAAAATAATATGTGTACTAGTACTGATTCCAAATTCTGACTTTTCTTTTTCTTCAGCTGTAATACTTGCTGGTGGTTATGCATCCAATGGTGCTCTGCCACAAGGTTCTCAATCTGAAAACGACTCATCAAACACAACTGTGAGTCTTGCTGCTTGTAGGACGTTTGTTGTCAGAAATTTATATAGATCATTAATCGTTGTTTGTTGTAGATATTCGTGGGTGGACTTGACTCTGATGTAACAGATGTGGAGCTCAGACATTCTTTCATGCCATTTGGTGAGGTTATCTCCATTAAAATACCAGCTGGAAAAGGATGTGGATTTGTACAATTTGCAAACAGGTAATGCTGTGGTTCTGGTATTTCATTGTTAAAAAACCAGCCAAGGGCAACATAAATTGATGAGAGTGGAGCATATTGTTCATATGTATTGTTCACGTGTGTTAATATCAATTATTATCAATTTTATGATTGCAAAAACACGGGTAACCTTGTTGCTTGGGGGTTGGGGGATGTAGACAACTGAAGCTACTTGTATTTTTCAACATCTTTTGTCAATATAAGAGAGTAGCCTGCATGGTAAATTAGAAACCAAGTTTGAGTTCTTGTTTCAAAATTGAAAATTCAAGCTGGGTTTAGTAACTAATTCATTTTGTAAGAAGTGTTAATGTTCTAATATTTATTGAAAAGTCAGTTCACAAATTATTCAGCATATTAAAGTGAACCTACTAGCTATAGTTGATCTGGCTGTAAGTTTTCTTCAAACGCTTGGTTTTGGAACGAATTTACTACCACTTGACTTTTCTATTTCGACAGAAGCAATGCAGAGGATGCAATACAGAGATTAAATGGAGCTGTTATTGGCAAGCAGGCAGTTCGTCTTTCTTGGGGACGAAATCCAGGAAACAAGCAGGTAAAATCTTTATTTGTGGATGAAATCATGTAATCAGGATATATTATTTTTATTGCTGTTTTCTATTTCAGTAGGAAGTGATAGTTATTTCCGATAACAACTAACAGCTTCAGTTCATTGTTACACATGGTCCAAAAAACATTCATCTCAAATTCTTGAGTTCATGATTGCTTGAAATTATGATACTAAATGCTTTAGGTTTACAAGTCAAAAAATGTTTCGTTAGTTGTTTGTAATGTGTGGATCTACATGCCAGAAAAATATAGAATTTTTTTGTTTCCCAGTTCCAGTAATATTTCTGTGTTTTTACAAAAATCTTTTCTACTGTCATATATATATGATATCATTTGATTTTTGAACTCTCTGCAATTTTGTTTTCTGAAAACATCTTATTCGGGGGGAAAGAAAAATGAGTTGAAAATGTTTTCCACTACAATCTTGAAAACTGTAACTTATATTCTGGGCTTCCTGTTGCCATACTTAAACTGAGTTGAACGTTTTCACTCTATCAAAATTTGCCTACCTCAACCCCCTCAAAAGAGGAAATTGTATACTATTGTATACTGATAAGCCACCGATACACTTCACCTATTCTAGAAGGATCAAGAAGGGAGGGAAAACAGAATCTGTTGGAAAGCATGTGCTGGGGGAGAAACAATTAGGAAATTAGCTATAAATAGAGGTAGAAGCTAGTAGAGAAGGCAGGCAATTAACAAGTGAGGAAAGAGGTCGAGTATTAGTTCTGTTTATGTAATTCTCTTCAGCTCTTCTTCAACAAAAGATCTATTTTAATATCTCACTCAATTCTTCTATAGTTTGAATCCTATCAAATTGGTATCAGAGCACGTGTATCCTGATGGCTCAGAAAAACAGAAGGCAAGATAGAAACCATGGAAAAAGAGTTGGAAGAAGTAAAGACCGAGCTGCAAAGGCTACCAGGCTTGGAGCGGTCGACGGAACACTTGGCTCAGAACATAGACAAAATGATGCAGGCCTTGGAAGAAATAGAAGGACAGTAACAGCCCTCTCAAATCCGAAGTCGGGGTCAAATGGGAGTTTGGAAGGCAATAGGTTAGGAAGTATTACCAGAGGGCAGATACCTCCGGGAACCGTAAGTATCAACGAACGATGGAGCGGGGAAAATGGTCGGAAGGTTCTGGGGAAGCCAGCCAGGGGAAAATATCAATCACCACAGACCAGGAAGGAGGGGACAGTTGGCGTCGAGTGAGGAAGCCTGAAATGCCCATTTTCAGTGGGGAAGATCTGGATGGGTGGCTCTTCCATGTGGAAAGGTACTTTGAGGTCAATGGACTGACGGAGCGGGAGAAAATGGGAGCAATTGGAGTAAGTTTGGAAGGCGACGCTCTCTTGTGGCTCCAATGGACAGAGGCAAGGAGAGCATTCTAGGACTGGCAGGAGTTTCGGAAACAACAACTACTGCGTTTCCGGCCAACCTAGGAAGGTAGCCTTTGTGAGAAGTTTTTGGCGGTGAGACAGGAAGGATCGGTGGTGGAATTTAGGAGAGCGTTTGAGGTATTGGCCGCCCCGTTAAAAAATCTCTCCGATGAAGTATTGGAAAGCACGTTTGTGAATGGGCTACTACCCGAAATCAGAGCTGAAGTGTGCTTATTAGGCCCTAAAGGATTGAGCCAGATAATGGAGGTGGCCCAAAAATTTGAGGACTGAAACTTAGTAGTTAGAAACGTTAAAGAAACATTGACCCAGAAAAATCTCAGAAATTCCCCAAACTCAATCAAGGCAGGAACGTTCCCTACGCAAACGGTAGAAGAGAAGCACCCATAAAACGTATGACTGATGCGGAGTGGAGGTCGAGGCGAGAGAAGGGTCTATGCTTCCGTTGTGAAGAGAAATATACGATCGGCCACAGGTGTAAGAACCGAAAGCTTCGTGTATAGTTGGTGCAGGATTGCAAAGAAGGAGTTGTTGACTTTGAAAATCCGGTGGAGCCGCTGCCACTGGAGGTAACGGGGACGGTAGAACTATCGCTCAACTCTGTGATAGGGCTAACCACTCCGGGCACCATGAAATTAAGAGGCAAAATTGGGTCACAAGAAGTGATAGTGTTGATCGATTGTGGGGCGACCCATAACTTTATTTCTCTGGAAGTGGTTCGAAAAATAGGACTTCCAATCACAGTGACCAACAATTATGGGGTCATGGGCACGGGTGAGTTAGTTACGGGAAAAGGGATGTGTAAATGGGTAGTATTGGAATTGCAAGGGTTGACAATTATAGAAGACTTTTTGCTATTGGATCAGGGCAGCACAGGCGTTGTTTTGGGCATGCAATGGTTAGGCACGTTGGGGCGCATGGAGGTCAACTGGAAGATGTTAACCATTAAATTCCGAATGGGGGATGACCGGTTGACTTTAAAAGGTGATAAGTGGCTAAATAAATCAGGGATTTCTTTGAAAACAATGATGAAAACACTGTAGAAGGAGGGGGCAAGGGGTATTGGTGGAAATAAGCGATGAACAGGAAGAAGGGAAATTAAGGAAATTGGCAGTAGAACCACTTGCAGGGTTGCTAAGGCTGTTGCAACACTATGCGAAAGCATTTGAGGAGACAAGAGAGTTGCCTCCAGCCCGGGAAATAGACAATGCCATTCCTTTGAAAGAAGGCTTTGAACCAGTTAGTGTCCGGTCTTTCTATTACGTGCACTTCCAAAAAAATGAGATTGAGAGAATGGCGAAAGAAATGCTGAAGGCTAGGATCATTCAACCCAGTGTCAGTCCCTTCTCCAGCCCAGTGCTACTCGTAAAGAGAAAAGATGGAAGTTGGCGATTTTGTGTCCACTACAGGGTGTTGAACAAGGTAATCATGCCAGACAAATTTCCAATCCAGTAATTGATGAATTGTTAGATAAGCTTAGGGTGCAACAATATTCCCAAAATTGGACTTGAGGTCTGGCTATCACCAGATAAGGGTTTGGAAGGAAGATGTGCATAAAACAGCTTTCAGGACTCACGAAGGGCACTATGAATTCTAGTTATGCCGTTTGGCCTCACCAACGCCCTGGCTACATTTCAGTCCTTGATGAACCAGGTATTTAGAAGTTATTTGAGAAAAGTTCGTTTTGGTTTTTTTTTTAAAATTTTTTTTTTTTTTTTTTTTTTTTTTTTTAATGATATCTTAGTGTATGGTAAGGATGTGACATCACATGAGCATCATTTGGAGGAAGTGTTCATCGCTTTAGAAAGGCATTAGTTGAGCGCAAACAAAAAGAAATGCCTGTTTGCTCAACCACGGATAGCATACTTCCTCTTGAAAGTTCTCTCCCTTCATTGATTGATCTCGTTCCCACTGAAAGAGAAGAGAAGGTTCCCTCTACTTCAAGGGGAATCGAAGAAGGCACTGAAAGAGAGAGTGAAACTGGGGCAAGAAGAACTGAAGGCTCAAAAGATTCAATGATTGCTGTTGGTAGCCGGTCGATAAGCAGTAGCTACAGGATGAGAGCTAAGCTTGCCAGCTGCCAACCAAGCCAAGGTAATATTTCCATTTATTCATCAAAAGAGGCGTCCCTTTTGAGGCCAAAATTGGGTCACTTGGTTTCGGCTGAGCGAAAGATAGCAGATCTTAGCAAAATCACAGCCATGGTTAACTAGCCAACTCCTCGAAATTTGCAGGAACTTCGGGGTTTCTTGGGATTAATAGGCTATTACAGGAGATTTGTGGAAGGTTATGGCACCATCTTTTGGCCTCTCACCCAACAGTTAAAGAAAGATTCCTTTGGCTGGAACGATGAAGCGGAGGAGGCATTTGAACGGTTAAAGCTGGCTATGATCACGGTCCCAATTTTAGCTCTCCCTGACTTCTCGAAACCCTTCATCATTGAGACAGATGCTTCGAGTTGTGGGGTAGGGGCAGTACTCATGCAGGACCATCAGCTTATTGCATTTTATAGCCAAGTGTAACGACCCGGGTCTCTGTACCCAAGCCGTTAGCCTACGTACTGTCCGCTTTGGGTGGGCCCTGCGCTCACTTACCCCTCACGGCTTTCTGTCGCGTCCCCCAGAATTCGAACTCATAACCTTTCCCTTAAGCAATACTGGGACAAGTATTGTTTAAGGGAAAGATTATGAGTTCTCAAGTTAAGTATTGCTTAAGGGAAAGGTTATGAGTTCGAATCTTGGGGGACGCGACAGAAAGCCGTGAGGGGTAAGTGGGCGCAGGGCCCACCCAAAACGGACAGTACGTAGGCTAACGACTTTGGTACAAAGACCCGGGTCGTTACACTAAGCACCGTCAACAAAGTCTCGGTAGAAGTCCATCTACGAGAGGGAGTTGATGGCCGTTGTGTTAGCAATTCAGAAATGGAGACACTATGTATTAGGAAGGAAGTTTGTCGTTCGCATAGGCCAACGCAGCCTTAAATACCTCCTGGAATAAAGTGATACCAGGGGACTTCCAGCGTTGGGTGACCAAGCTGTTGGGATTCGATTTCGAGATCCAATACCAGCCGGATTGGAAAATAAGGCAGCTGATGCACCATCACACATTCCCACTCCTATTGAACTGAGGACACTCACCTTCTCCAAGCTGTTGGATGCACAGTTGATTGAGACTGAAGTGGAAAATGATCCATTGTTATCCAAAATCAAGAAGGACTTGCAGGGGGAACCGGATGCACACCCGCGTTACTGAATCCTTTAGGGGAAGTTGCTATACAAAGGGCGACTGGTAATCTCTCGGACTTCAGCCTTAATTCCCTCCCTGCTACACCAGTTCCACAGTAGCACGTTGGGAGGCCATTCCGGGTTTCTTTGCACTTTAAGCGACTGACCGGCAGCTTGTGCTGGACGGCGATGAAGGCGGATATCAAGAAGTTTGTTGCGGAATGTCCAGTGTGCCAGCGAAATAAGATCATGGCTCTATCTCCGGCAGGGTTATTACAGCCTCTACCGATTCCCCACCTCATTTGGGATAACATTTCAATGGGTTTTGTGGAAGGACTACAAATCGGGAGGGTACAATACCATTCTAGTCGTGGTGGATCGTTTAAGCAAGTACGCACATTTTGTGCCCCTTAAACACCTCTTTACAGCAGCTGGGGTCGCAACAGTTTTCGTCAAAGAAATTGTACGCCTCCACGGAATTCCCAGTTCCATTATTTCAGACAAGGACAAGGTGTTCTTAAGCCATTTTTGGACAGCTCTTTCGGATGCAAGATACTTTCCTTCGACGAAGCACGGCCTATCACCCTCAATCCGATAGGCAAATTGAAGTAATTAATAGATGCCTGGAAACTTATCTTCGCTGCTTCACGTACGATCAGCCCAAACGGTGGTAACCATCGCTCCCATGGGCTGAGTATTGGTATAATACAACGTTTCACTCTTCAACAAATACAACGCCCTTTTGGGCAATATATGGTCGGGACCCCCCTCCATTAATTCGCTATGGCAATCAAGTTACAGCTGTAGCGACGGTGGAACAGCAGTTAAAAGACCGGGATCTTCTCCTCCGTGCTCAAGAAAGGATGAAAAAAGAGGCGGACAAGCACAGACGTGATGTTCAGCTGGTGGTTGGGGACTTGGTTTATGTTAAGCTGCGGCCTTGCCGCCTTCGTTCATTGGCCAGGAAGGAGAATGAAAAATTGGGGCCTAAGTATTTTGGTCCGTTTGAGGTAGAAAATCGTATAGGGCCAGTTGCATATCGTCTGAAATTGCCTCCTGAATCTACAATACATCCTGTCTTCCACGTGTCACAGCTGAAGAAGGCAGTGGGGGCAACTGAGGCAAGCCAACTATTTCCATCTCAGATTGAGGCGAACCTTGAATGGGTTGTGGAGCCTGGGCTAGTCTTGGAAGAACGTCCTGGTGAAGAAATTCTGATAAAATAGAAGGGTCTACCTACGACCGACGCAACCTGGGGAATCAGCAGAAGCTATCCTCAAACACTTTCCAAGTTTCCACCTTGAGGACAAGGTGTCTTGGAAGCCCGGGAGTACTGATAAGCCACCGATACACTTCACCTATTCTAGAAGGATCAAGAAGGGAGGGAAAACAGAATCTGTTGGAAAGCATGTGCTGGGGGAGAAACAGTTAGGAAATTAGCTATAAATAGAGGTAGAAGCTAGTAGAGAAGGCAGGCAATTAACAAGTGAGGAAAGAGGTCGAGTATTAGTTCCGTTTATGTAATTCTCTTCAGTTCTTCAATAAAAGATCTATTTTAATATCTCACTCAATTCTTCTATAGTTTGAATCCTATCATATACTTAGTCCCCATCTTATCGCCCAAGTAGCAAGTTGATCCCCACCAGGAGTGTGTTGCTCTTCAATCTTTCACTATATTTGCATAATGACGAAGGAATTTTTTTCAATCTCCGTTAACCATCACGTGGTTTTCATATATCTAACTTCATGAAGATATATTATATTTTCCAACTTGGTCTGGTTAGCAAAAATTTGAAGTGAGATATGTTTCCATGAGGTAGCAACATGATGGTTTAATGGAGATGACCTCTTTTATTGGAAACAAATTATGCAATTATATTGTAAGGTTGAGAATGAATTTGTCCCTTTTGAAAGGTTGGGACAAACTTGCTAATTAGGCAATAAGTTTGGAACCAACGATGTGAGTTCCCCCCTTCCCCTTTAAGAATGATAAAAGAATAAGTAATGCGCCATTTCATCCTTTGGCTTTTACATCCCTCTCTTTTTGACTCTGTTTCAATTTTCTTCTTGTTTGGCAGTCGAGAATGGATGCTACTAACCAGTGGGGCGGATCTTATTATGGAAGGGAAGCTTACAATGGCAATGGGTATAATGCAGGTGCTGTTTATGTGGCATCAAATGGCCATGGGAACCACCAGCAGCCAGTTAGTTGAATTACTGAACATTGCTGATTGAGTTTATCAGAGACTAAATTAATATGTACGTTAGAAGTGTGGTATGTAGAACTTTGTAGCTGGATTTAATTTTATGAGGTGTGAGGATTTTTTGTGAACTTATTTTTGGAATTTTGAGGTGTCTTAAAAGAGTTTTTTTTTCATAATTATTCATAACAATTACTTATTTATTTATTCTTTTAGAGATTTATAATATTAATTACTTATATAATTTTCGTGTTTAATAGAAAATCTTTGAAATTTACCAAGTTCTCATAACTTGTATAAATAGCACCCTAAATTCAATGAGATTGTACTTGCATCACCAAGAGTATTCTCTAATGAGATTTGCATCCACAGCTTCTTTTGGTAGTTCTTAGTAAGCCTTGTGTGCCTGAACATTGAGTCGAACACGATTGAACTGACCAATTTTTTATGTTTGTCTTTGTTAATGATGTTCAGTACGATATACTAAATGTACTTGGGAACTTGACTAAAGTTATATTGGTAGATCATAGTTAACGTGTCTAGTTATGCTGTTAAGCGGGTATTATTTATCAAGAAAGTAAGGGGACGTGAGTTCTTGTGATTGCCTTATAACCGGGCTCATGTTTTCGATAGAGAATGTTTGGTATACTTGACGAGATAAGTCGAGAGATGATTGAAGAAAGAGAAATATGTAAGATGTTTGTCCAACATTTCGGGTCCTTGAGCACATTAAAGATCCCCAATGTACTGCAACAATGATTTTCAAGGATTAGGTTTTCAACTTTTATGCTGCAGAATTCTCTCGTTTTTGGCTTACATTGGGAGGACTAGGAATATTGTCTAATGGTAGAGTTGGTTGTTACTCCAACCAAGCCTAATCCAATTTTGTGAAATTTTCGGCCTTTAAGTTGATAATTGGCATAAATTTTTTGGGTGATATTTAAGCTAATGCACATTTTGTTTGGGTGTCTATTTGTCTAGTCGATTCTTGAGAATTAGACTCAGTGCTTGTTTGGTACAGATTAAAAGTCAATTAAAATTAATTTTTTGACCGTTATTTTACTATTCCAGCTGTCATTTTTGAATTATTCTTATAGGTAGGATCCCCTTTATCTCTAACGGTCAAAAAATCAATTATAAAAATTCCTACTAAACAAGCTCTCAATTTGTTGCACGAGTCTAGTTTTTTTACTTTTGATTAGATCGTATATATTATTATTATTATTATTATTATTTGGCTTAGTTTTTTAAATCCTATGGAATATAAATTCCACGCAAAGGAAGACTTTGATCGACTTCCAGTAACACAAATCTAGAGAAAAGTGTAATAAGGTTCATTTACAGTCAAAAACCGCAACGCAAATCAAGAGAAAAGTGTAATTAGATTCATTTACAGTCAAAAGCCATAAAGAATAAAGATGAAATTTACTAGGGTGGTAGGTCAAGGGTAGACTCCAAAAGGTGATATCATTCGATGAAGACCATATGAATCATGACGAATCTATAGAAGAGAACAGACAAATTTATGTTGAATTGGTCCAAGTGATCTGTCTTCGAACATCAATTTGCATTCCTTGATGGTTTCATTAATGTTCAAATGTCCATGTTTTACAAAACCTGATTGGATTCTATCACAGGCTAAATAGTCGAATGACATATCATTTTCACTTTTAAATGTTTAAGCTATCGGACAAGATATCACAAGAAGAAATAGTATTTCTTGATTCAAATCTCACCACCTTCATCCAAAAAAAAAAAAAAAAAAAAAAAAAAAAAAAAAACACCCACACCACATGTGTCTATTTCTAGTTAAAAATATGAGTATAAATAAATTAAGAAATATAATCGATTTTAAATAATTAAAGCAAAGAGACAAGGTGGAGAATGAGTTGTTTCTAATTGGCATCTTTCTCCAACAAATGTATATGTTTTTCTTTTGTGAACTTGACAGGGTGGAAAGCAATCAATCCACAAAAATCAAGCTCCGATCAACTATTCTATTGGACATGATATGATAACTTTCTTTATTGAATTATAAAACCTTCATGAACGTTTGGATTAAATTCCAAGTCTTGCAGGGACTTGATACGTTCATTATCAATCATTATCCATGGTGAGTCATGTGAAAAGGAAAATACCAAATATTTGAAAGGGATTTTTTGAAATTAGAGGCAAGAAAATATTTCCTGCTCACACGACAAACCGCACGAAGCTTCCTTCCTAGAAGTCTACCTTACCTGAGAAGTGGAAAATGTAGAAGGCCTATATAAACCTGCCCTACTGTACTTGAGATACACAGAAATCCAATACTATGGAAGGACGACATGCATTTTTCCCTACAAACCTCTGCCTATCCATTTTTCTCATTATAGTGCTTCCTGCACTTACCCATGGCTTGGGAACTGATCAAGCCAGTTCGCTCATGGCCTTGCGGAGGTTGAAAGTGGACTCTCGAGGCATAGCACCAGATGAGAAATGGACAGAAATGAGTGTTAATGGTTCTGAGAGAATGGTTTCTGATGTAGGAAATATGGAATATGATATGATAAAAGGTGGACTTCCTGGACAGCCATTAGGGGTTACATTTAAGCAATATGCAGGATATGTTAATGTCGATGAGAAGAAAGGGAGAAGCCTTTTCTATTACTTTGCAGAGGCTGCTGAGGATCCTTCTTCTAAACCACTTATTTTGTGGCTCAATGGAGGTGAAAACTCTCTCCCTCTAACACCCACGCTCGCACCCGCACCCACATCCACATTGAGCATGTATCATTCACGTGTCGAGACTGTGGTAAAGAAAAAAAATGAATATAGTCTTCAGGTGATAAGGCATGTTGAAAATGGATTACAAATAAGTTTGTCTCGTGCCAAGAGTTTAACATTTTAGATGAGTGTAATGTTGATTCTCTATTTAAGTGTCACAACATGAAAGTATTACTCTTTTGCAACTAACTAAACTAGATTCACAGTTCCACAAATTAAAGTGTAATTAACCGAACACGTCATGTTTAACTTGTTCTTTTGTTTGTCAATTCTCAATTTATCATTTTTTTTAACGATCTATCCCTATGTTAAACTGTTAACTTACGTACTATCCGCTTTGGGTGAACACTTACCCGCTTACCCCTCACGAATTTCTATCTCGTCTCCAAAATTCGAACACATGACCTTCCCCTTAATAGAGACTTGAGATAAAATCATGATACCAATTGGTCAAAAAAATTAGGGCGTACATGGTAGTTGGTAAACAGTATTAACAGTGCATCACATGGAAACAAATAAGATTTTTGTTCATTTTTCTTTCTTAATCCTTTGTTGATTGATCTGCCCTCCAAAACATGCCATTGTTAAATGTTTTTCTTGAATACATGATATAAGTTGTTAACCTTATGCACAGGACCTGGTTGTTCATCACTTGGAATGGGAGCAATGACTGAACTTGGACCTTTTGGGGTCAATCCTGATGGTAAAACACTTTATAAAAGAAAATTTGCATGGAATGAAGGTATATACATATAAGATTTGAAAGTACTTTCATCTTATTACTTTGTGTGCGCAAGCTGCCAAGTAATGGTACAGGCTAAATTAACTTGAATGGAGTTTATACTTTCATGTATGTGATGCAGTTGCAAATACATTGTTTCTGGAGTCGCCTGCAGGCGTTGGATTCTCTTACTCGAACACGACCTCAGACTATGACCAATCAGGAGACAGAAGAACCGGTATAACACCTACTGCTACTTGGCTCGACATAATACTGAACAAAATTTTTGTTCTTTTTCTTATTAATACTCTGGTCTCTGCTATGTCTGCTCTACTTACCAAAAAAGCCATCAATGAAATGTTTTCCAGTTTGGACTTGTTAAATAAAATAAAATTTTGAAAGCAATCACCAAAATTAGATAATTATCTCTACCATGCTCTCACTTCTTCAATTCAACTAAGACCATATTCTGAAATTTTTAGTCGAATAAATATCTAGACAAGGAATTTTTTTTTTCAATTATCAACTCAAAGTGGTTGCCTTATTTTTCCAAATATTACGATTCTTGGATAAAATTTTGTAATCCTAGTTCAATATTCTGTTATGTTGCAGCTGAGGACGCGTATACATTTTTGATAAACTGGTTCAAGAGGTTCCCTCATTACAGAACAAGGGAATTCTATATAACCGGAGAGAGCTATGCAGGTAACTTTCAACCAAAAACTTCACCTTCCTACGTAAAAGAAATAATTAGAGTAAAATAAGAAGAAAAGAGTAAGAAGCTACTTTTAATATAAAACATTCATATGACTTTCTCAATGAGTGGATATAATCTGGACTCTCGATTCCAGGAATAATATTTTCACTCTTTTTTCAAGAACAACCTAAAGCTCCATTAAAAATCTGAAATGATTTTTTCATTATCACAAATATGGGGATGGCATTTCATAGAAAAGTATCTGTCTGCATAGTGGATGTCCGATATGAACTTCTATAATAATGTGGCAGGTTACTATATTCCCGAGTTAGCAGATGTAATTGTCAGCAGAAACAAGAAGGCACACTCAACTTCAAAAATCCTTCTTAAGGGCATCATGGTAAACATATTATTTTTATTTTTCAGAAATATCACTTTAATACTAAAGAAATTATAGAGAAAATTCTGTCATACCTTTTCATTAATAATTGATAGATTTATATACAAACTAGGCACATTCCTAAAATTAAGTAATCATATAACTACTAAATAGGATAATTGCAAACTGTAGAAATTAATCTGAAAATTAATTGTATTGTACTATATTTAGTATTCTAGAACTAGAAAATTTGACTTTCGCCAACAAGTACATTGAAATTTTCTCAGTTTTTCTTGTATTATAGAGCAGATCTGCTATCTTTTATTTTTATTTATTTTTAAACAAAACCATTTGCGTTAGTGTGGTTAGTAATAATTAAAATAATAGTAGAAAATTGATAGAGGTGGAGACAAAGATTAATTTTATTTCTTAGAGGATAAGGTAGTTGTCAAATTATCATTTGCTATAAGATGAAATTCAAACAAGTAATGCTACCAAGTCAAGTAAGAAGAGAAAGCTTATTAGATGGTCAAAGTCGTATTTGATTTTTCATCTTCTAAAAAGAAAAATGAGAGTTGTATATGTTATGTGGCAAGCAACGCAAACCGCCTTACAACATCTATAAATAGGCTTGGATATGGATTTGTTCATAGCATGTGTTCTATTAGTATGTGCTGAACAATTGAGCACTAAATGAGAATTAAAGATTCAGTTTTTTATCGAAAGAGAGAGACTAAACTTGAGATACATGTAGCTCCTATTTAGAATTCATCTTGTACTCCACTGTTCCTATTTTATAGTAAAGTCGCATTATTTCTTTAGTGAAATCTTTGTCTCCAAGTTTTGCTATCTTTTATTATCCAAGGTAATAGTCCCCAACAAAAACAACTTAAGAGGGGGCCCTAACCTCCAGCAAGTGAAAAGTAAAATGCTGCAAAACAAATGATGAGACTTATCCCACCAACGGGGGAAGTACATGAGAAAATAAAGAAAGAAGGCTTAAAACTGATTCTAGTTTGAATACTTCGTTCTGCATGTCTTCTTATGCGTTGTGGTGCACTTGAAACTGTAGGCCTTATCTTACAAATCATATCCATAGTTCGTAGGTATCCTATTGAACACGTCCGCGATATCTTCATCACCATGTGCCTCGTGGTAAATGTCTTGTTAATAAAACTCTGCATCAAGATCGCTCACAATCATGTCACAAATCTGGTTGCTTGTGCCTACATCCTCAACTTAATTAACTGCCATCCCTTTAGGAATGTTCATGTTATCCCAAGACGGTGGATTGTCCTCAACATTGTTTCTTAAAGTGAATACTTGTCATCCATGCCTCAAAACACGCTCTTTTGTATTGGCATGAAGGTCCGCTGATTTCTCAATTAACTGCAACTGGGTCGGAGAATTGTCGAAATTTTGCAATCGTGTCCACTGACTTTTGAGATATGCATTGTCATACATTCATAAATGCTGATGCTACAAAGTTCAAGTTTCCATATCTTCTTTCTTGAGAGCATGTAACTTTAGAAAGGTATTTAGTCTATGCTCATATTATTTCTAATCTTGTAGATTGGAAACGGGATAATGAATGTTGCTACAGACACGAAAGGCATGATTGATTTTTTTTGGAGCCACGCATTAATTTCAGACGAAACGTATCAAGGGCTTACAGGGCACTGCAAGGCAGGAAGCTCAAAATGTGGAAGTTTAGATGCAGCAGAAATTGGATCAATAGACTTTTACAATATATATGCCCCCTTATGCCCGTCTTCGTTCAAACTGTCAAATACGGCGAGAAAACATGTAGGATATGATCCTTGTGAATCAGAATATGTTTACAGCTATCTTAATCTTCCTCAAGTACAGAAAGCCCTTCATGCAAACAGAACAAAACTGTCCTACAATTGGCAACTTTGCAGGCAAGAACCTTGATATTTTGTGAATACTACGTTTAATACGTTAGATTAGACTGTCACCTAATACTCTTTCTTAATCTTGTCTAATTCTTTTCCCAAAAAATATAATTATCCTTGATATTTCTTGAATCGAGTTCCTAGATATTTAGACAAAATTTCTGTTTTTCCCAGTGTTGTGATCAATTCCTGGAAGGACAGCCCATCAACAATGTTTCCAATATATAAGAGGCTTATGGCCTCGGGTCTAAGGATACTTCTTTACAGGTAAACATAATTCTTATTTATAAAGCTGAAGATCTCTTCAGTTAGAAGCAACAGGCGTTGGGTTATAAAATTCTCGTGGGGGTTCATTTGAGTATGTCTAAATAGATACTATATATTTATAGATCACTGTCATTTCGTTCTGTTAAGGGTTTCGAATAGGCATGGGACACCTTTTTTTTTAATTGGAGAACCCTTTTCACCTTTTCGAGCTTCAATTGAATTGAGAAATATGTTTGATGAGCCCTCTTTTGTAGCGGATAGATTTCGCATATGCTAATATACATCTTCGTCAGTGGCGATGTGGATGCAGTTGTTCCGGTGACTGGTACACGATATTCCATTGGTGCTATGAACCTTAAAGTGATCAAACCTTGGCGTCCTTGGTTGGATGAAACCGATGAAGTAATTAAACTTCAATGTCTTTTTTAACTATATCTTTTTGACATTTTTGGTATGATGGACTGTATCAAGTTCTTCGTACCAAACACTCTCTTATTCGATTGGCAAATGAGTATATTTTTTATTTTTAGTCTCAACTGAGCCAAGTTATATAAAATGCAGGTGGGTGGATACCAAGTAGTTTATGATGGTTTAACTTTTGCAACAGTTCGTGGCGCTGGTCATCAGGTTCCACAATTTCAGCCCCAGAGAGCTTTCACTTTACTGAAAGTATATCTTGCAGATCTTTTTTAAAGGGATTGTCTTGAAAAGAAACGTTTTTATGTCAGCAACAGAAGTTGAACTTATGGAATTGTTGATCTAGTAGCAGTTGAATGAAAATAAGAGGGATTTGGTGTAGATTCTGCGCATCAAATCAATTATTAGTTTTCTTATTTTTCGAAGTATAACAAATGATTGAAATATAATTTGAGGTTAGTCATTCTAAATTTGTATTTCTCTTTGAAGACTCATTAATGAACTAATGTCACATACAATACTGGAGAGTCCCTCTAAAACACATCATTTATTTTATATTTCGACTTTTTATTTTTACGCAGAATTTTTTTTCATACTGAATACTCTTAAAAAAGAAGAATGAAGAACCTGTCCTTTACAAATTATTTCCAATAAATTTAGAGTCAACTACAAAAATTTTGTTTTATCTTTACGTTCAGTTCATTGTCCAAAATAAAAATAAGACGAAACTGTGAACCTCATCTTTCCATGTTCAATAAATGAATTTCATTTTAACTATACTACAGCTGCCCGGGCAGATACTGCCACCTTTGTAATGACAAAGTTGAAGCAAACAAATTCCAATTATTTAGTTAGTTATAGGGGGATAATTTAACAAAGTCAGGCCAGTTGATTTGTTAGGACATCTTTGTCAAAGCTGCTAAGCATCTCTTGTGTCGTCGTTTTGTTTTTAGCACGTAAAAGTTCAATATTCTGCTTGACTCGTTCTCTTTGTCCCAAAATTGTTATGAAATTGGTAAAGGAGAACTATCACAGAATACTGAATTTCAGTAAGATATGATTAAAAAATAAACAGCCATAATTCGCTGTTTTCAAGAATTGTTACCAATACAAATATCATAATACAGCAGAAGTGGCGAGAAAAACAGGTCCGAGGAATTGAAAGAATGCTAACTGCACTTGTTTTGTTTATTTCTTTTTCGTGCCTTCTGGCCTCGATACAATGCTATGGTGGGAGAGGATTCGACCCCCTACGGAAACTTATCACGGATCAACGGTTCAAAAGATCAGTTGATTATCTGAACGAGGAGGCTGCAACTCATTATTTGCCAGTTTATGTAGGATCTCAGGAGGGCCTAAAGGATGCTGACAGGGTATTAATGTTGCCGGGGCAACCAAATGGAATAAATTTTTCTCAGTATTCAGGTTATGTTACTGTTGATTTAAAGGCTGGCCGGGCACTTTTCTATTATTTTGTTGAGTCTGAAGAGCCTTTGACTAGGCCTCTAGTCCTGTGGTTAAATGGAGGTATGTTTCTGCTGATCTTTTTATTAATGTTATACTCATTGCTCAATTTCCATTTTCATAAGTATCTCGAATGGAAGAATAATTATCTGTTTTTTGACAGGACCTGCCTGCTCGTCTTTAGGAGCTGGAGCAATGACAGAACTTGGACCATTTCGAGTCAATAACGATAATAAAACTCTATCGTATAACAAATACGCGTGGAATAATGGTGAGTTTAAGCATGCCCTCAAATTAGTGCCCAGTTACTTTTTGAAAGCATGTTTGGTATAGACCATTAGACAGATAAGAGTCGTGTCCAATACTCCTTACCTAACACGCCCCTAAAAGAAGAGTGTTAAAACCATGATCCTGGATATGCAGTGGCAAATGTTCTCTTCTTGGAGTCGCCGGCTGGTGTTGGATTTTCATACTCGAATACGTCCTCAGATTATGTTACTGGAGACAAACAAACTGCAGCAGATTCTTATACCTTTCTACTAAACTGGTTGGAAAGATTTCCAGAGTACAAAGCCAGAGATTTCTTCATAGTTGGAGAGAGTTATGCTGGTCATTATGTGCCTCAACTTGTCGATCTAATCCTTAACAACAAGATGACAAATCAGACTGTCATTAATTTAAGAGGAATTTTAGTAAGTGCATATTATCATCCCACATAAATTACTTCTCAGTGTATACTATGGACATTGGGTAAGGAGGAATTGACAGGATAGTATTAAGAAAGAAAATTAAATTGCTGTCCGGTTTCCTATCCAATACTTTACCATATATGATTTGATATGCAATTAAAGGCCAAGCATTTTGTAAGGAATTTTAACATGAATGTGGCATGATTTTTTCAGATTGGGAATGCATTTATCGACTTTGAGGATGAGCTCAGAGGTTCGTATGAGTATCTGTGGTCACATGGTCTCATATCAGACGAACTTCATGATGGAATTGTCTCAAATTGCAATTTTTCTTCCATATCAGAAGTCTGTAATGCATACATTGATCAAGCAGATGAGGCTAGAGGGAACGTCTTCATGTACAACATTTATGCTCCCTTGTGTTCTATATCTTCAAACATTCCTTCGGTACACTTCAGTTACTCATTTTTCATTATCCTTAAAAATATAAACTAAACATAAACCAGACAAAAACACGAAAATCAGGAAAATATCACGGAGATTCTCTTCCTCGACTGTGGATGGTAATCTAATCGCCTTTTATCTAACGTAAAAACAGATATCTGGATTCGATCCATGCTCGGAGAATTATGTCTACAGCTACTTGAACACTCCTGAAGTGCAGAAAGCCCTTCATGCCAATGTCACTGGAATTTCTGGACCATGGGAATCTTGCAAGTACTACAATTCTAATATTGAATATCGATTCATTTCAAAATTTCCTTAGAATTTTCCTTTTTGTTGATCAATCTGTATACAGTTTTGATGTAGGCATTAACTGGAAGGACATGCCAGAAACAGTATTGCCTACCATTAAGGAGCTGATGGGTACTGGCATTAGCATTTGGCTCTATAGGTAACTACGGATAATTGTTCCCACCTCATCTAATAGTTTAAAGTTACCGAATTCAAAGAAATTTATTCAACAGAAGGCTTAATCTCTAAAAACGTGCATTTGCAGCGGAGATACGGACGGAGCAGTGCCAGTAATAACAACAAAGTATTCGATAAACAAACTCGGCCCCTCAGTAAAAACTTCATGGTACCCATGGTACGCTGGAGACGAGGTAACAAATAACTCGTTAAGTTTCTCAATTTTCTTCATCTACATCTCACTAAAACTCATCCGAGACAATTTCTGCATTGTTTTTAAGGTTGGAGGCTATGCAGTTGAATACCAAAATTTTACATTTGTGACTATTAGAGGAGCAGGACATTTTGTTCCAAGTTACCAGCCTGAACGTGCCCTCACTTTCTTCTCATCCTTCTTAGAGGGAAAGCTTCCTCCACGTCACAACTGACCGGGTATCGAGATATGACTACAACCATATAAGTCCTTACTCTTAACAGATTTGGAGTCGACTCAGCATATCAATATAAATATTAAAAATATTTGATGTTAGTTCGATCAAATATACTCATCTCAGTTTTCACTTTTAGGTTTCATCCACGATATCATTTTCCAACTAAGTTTAACTCAAGAGGCGACTCGAATTAAGAGTAGGAAGATGACAAGATTTCATCTTGCAAACGACCTCAGTGGCATGTTTGGCATGAGGATTATACATCAATGAAATATGCGGCAAAAGGAAATGTTTAATTTGTCGTGTCCTAAAGACCTAAAATGGTTGTTTTACATGGATAACCATCTTAGTATTAGTAAAGATGTCTAAGTGTTAAAGTAGTGAATTTGGTCATTTGACTTGAGGTCACATATGAGGACTGACACACTTTGATGGCGTTGGACGTTACTTTATGTAACTAAAACGGCATCGTACATATATATCGAAAATCATATAAAGATTGATGAATGATCAATGTGGGATTCATCACTCTTTGATGGTAAAAAATTATGACCTGCATTTTATCCAACTAACATTGATTAATGAATTCCTCGACTCGGGTAGAGTAATGAATTGAAAGGGGCTTCAACTGCAACTCTTATTAATAAGAAAAACTTTGATGGGGCGGTCGACCGCCCAATGGGGAGCCATCACCTCATCGGGTGGCCAACCCTCACCCAGTGAGGTGAGACCACCCGATAAGATGGTGGCTCTCCATTGGGTCAACATATTGGTGTTGATGAATAGTATGACTAGTTACATCGAAATTGAAATATATCCATATCTCATAATTAATTGAGTCGAACATGATGAAATGATTATATTTCTATCTTAATCTATCAAAATGGTTCTGTCAAACCACATGGATTACTTTGTTAGATATCAATCTTGAACTGTGAATTAATTAATTTGGGTAAGTTAATGATAAGTTAAAAAGTATTTTGATTTATATTATTGTGATTAGATGAGGATACTAATATCACAAGGTTAGTCATCGTGAATGGGAACCCGATGAGCCACACATAAAAGTGAGAGTAAATTTGGAATTAGACCTGGTATGAGTGGGAGATTATAAGTATTATATCTTATGTCCAATCGTCTAGTGAACTTAATAATTACTGTTTAATTAATTGGATTAATTATTCTTGAACTCAATTAGGTTAGGCCTTTAATAATCTTAATGGAAGTAGGATTCACATAGCCTAGGTTCAGGGTTTTAACAATTTGGTCTTGATTAATTACTTGTTAGCACAAGAAAGAGGCAAAAACTGTGAACTTTGTTTTCTCCTAAAATCATGTCGTCCCTGTGCATTCATTCTTGCTGTGTGGATTATGCACGTAAAAAGACTTATGCTTAAGCATTATTGACATCTATATGCAAGTGACCGGATTTTGTGTTGCGTGTGCGTGGTATCTTGTATAAACCTATTCGATTAGTCTTTATTAAATACTAACAAAACTTTTCTCATGACAATTGGCTCCAAGAATAGTTCGTTCCTATAAAGCAACACAAAACTATTTCAAGATCAGAGAAACAAACTTTTACATTTCAACACAATTTTTAAACAGAACTTAGACGGGGAACCGAGCAATGACATGCACGTTTAGCAAAACCATCAAAATTAAAGTAAGCCGCATCGCTTTGACGCTACCTTTGCACAAAATTTAGGTCAAGCTTTGGATATATCTCCAATTAATTATTAATTTATACCACATTTGGCAATATCCAAAGTCAATATTGAAAATATATTATATATGAAACGGAAAAAAACATTTCTTCGTGAACATCGAGATCCTAGCTAGAGTTATACATACCAATACGATTAGTTAGGACAATTAGGCACGGACCGAAGAAAATTTTCATTTATTTATGTTTTTAACATATTTCTTTATGTGCAATTTGAAATTTATTATTTATGAACGCCAACAACATTTATATGGACTTAAACGGTATGCAAATAGAACACGACAGTCCATTACAAAATAATCAAGCCGGATGTAAAAGGCGGCTATGATAAAGTCAATCACGTAACCCCCCACTCACCCCATCTCTTAGGGTATATATATAGCATCTTTCGTTACAGTTTTGCCATTTGCAGGGTTTCTCTCTCTCTCTCTCTCTCTCTCTCTCTCTCTCTCTCTCTCTCACAGACACACACCAATGGAGGTGGAGGTGATGACACCATCACCGCCTGTGGAGTTCAACTTTGACAGTGCAAGCACTTCACCATACATAACTGCCCCTTCAAGCCCACAACGATTTGGCACCTTATATTATAGTGCCCCCACCAGCCCCACCCGTGTCTCCGCCCTCTACAGCGACTTCAACAACTACAGCGCCGCCGCAACTGCAGTTGTTGGTGGTGATGATACTACCAATGATGATGATGCAGATTTTGCTTTTGATTTTAGTGGTCAATTGGAGAAAAGTTCATTATCTGCTGATGAACTGTTTGATGGTGGGAAAATCAAACCACTTAAGCCCCCTCGGCGCTTACAAAACGAAAACAAGCACGCTGATTCTCCCAAATCCCCTAGATCGCCCAAGAAATTATTCTCCCCACGTCACAGGTACTATTCTTGAAGTTCCATCTTAAAAAGTTAAATATCTTTGTAAAGAGAAGTTGACAACCATTATTTTTATCTTTAATCAATGTAAATTGGCTCGAGAACGCTAATATCTAAATCCGACAACATGTTAGAGCTTTAGGCTGGTTAAAATGCTCGCTCGTGCTTTTTTAGACTATAATATTCCATTGAGCATCGATTTTTCATTTTTAAGAACAGCTGCCCAAACCCTTATATTCAAAATATAGGGAAGTGTTATATGTACATAATTATTTACATAGTGATGTCCATAATTACACGTGGCATTGGATTCAACTTTTAATTCAAATCTCACACTTGCACATCAACAACTGGATGATTGCCACATCACATTATAGATACCATTATGTGCAATAATTATGTACAAGTAGAGTTTTCCTTTGAATATATATTATTTTTTTCTTCAACTGATGTCGGATATAATCCTTGACGACAGGAAGAAAGAATTTGATCCATTTGCAGCTGCTATCGAACAAACTCAGAAAGAAAACATTCAAGAAACATCTCGAAGAACAAAATCTTTATCTCCTTTCAGGGTTTCCGACTTATTATTTGATCCTGATAACAATCAAGTTCAAGAAGCATCCAAGAATTCTTGTGCAGTATCTTCTTCTTCTTCCACTTCTTCAAATTCATCCATTTCTTCAGCTTCATCCTGGTACAAAAAATGGAAAATAAAGGACTTGTTATTATTCAGAAGTGCATCTGAAAGTAGGGCAACAGAATTGAAGAAATTTGAAGGGTTGAAGAAAAATTGTCATCAAGATCATGATCATGTGGTCAAGAATTGTAGATTTAGATCAACGGACAGTGTTGGATCAGGTTCCAGTAGGAGAAGATCAGGTCCATCAGTTTCTGCTCATGAACTGCATTACACTATGAACCGAGCTGCATCAGAAGAGATGAAAAAAAGGACTTTCTTGCCATACAAACAAGGATTACTGGGGTGCCTAAAGTTCAATCCTAGTGCTTCTATGTCTCGCGGATGAAATAATATACATTTTTTTTTGGTAATTTTATTCGACTATATATACGGTTTTTATTATTATTTGTATTTATGACATATTTTTCACTTATTTTTATTTTTATTTTTATTTTAATTTTTTTTTGTGGGGAGGGGTGTGGGGGTTCATTAAGAAGAAAAGTTGATCTTATATATCTTGGTGAAATTGCATTAGAAATGCTTTGTAATTATGAGTTCATTTCCACTTATCAAATAAGGGAATCACATTCCATTTATTAAACATGCAAAGGAAATGCATTTAGATATTTCCTCTTGATAAATTGCAAATTATATTTGTTTTTGTTGAAAAATTTACATCTATTTACGTGATCCATCAGAGCGATTTTACTAATAAAATGTTACAATAGATATTGTGAATTCTATGATTACAATAGTTCAAGCCCTAATTAGTAATTAGGAGTATATGAACTCATCTACATTGCTTCAAGTTATGTGGTTCGGCATCATGTACTAAACTATACTCCCATCCATTGATAATTATTATATATTGAAATGGTTAAAAACTAATTATAATATTCGATTCTAGCTCTTAAGGATTTATTTTTTCTTCAACTTATATTGGACGTAGCAATAAATGAACAAACATAGAGATAAAAAGAGATTTATATATTTTTTGAAAATGGACTATACCATGCTGGTAGTACTATAGAAGAAAAATATATTATATCATGGTAACAAACAGTATAAAATTTTGTCACCTTTTATGACATGGGATCCTTGTATAACATGATTATGAATAATTTAATTTTGTTTTGTTTATTGTTAAAAAAGTACCTTAGAATAGGGAACAGATTCATCTAAGTAACTACAAATTTATTGAGAATAAATTTTAATTTATATTAAGATCAACGGGTAGAGAGAAATCATTACTTGGGGGGTCATGCTTTACTTTAATTAAGCAATAGTTATTAATGAAGGGTAAAGTAGAGCTACCAACTAATTTGCACCATTAGCTTTATCAAAAAGCCAATTAATTTCGTCCATAATTATATAGCAAGCTCACATGAAAATCCTGTATTTCTGCCAACTTTTTCTTTTCTTTTCTATGAAAGCATATTCCCGTTGAGCAAATAAATGAAGAATAACATGAATTTCATCACCCAAATGGTGGGTGTAATCATTTAATCAGGTGTAATTAGCATGAATTTCGATTTAATTAATCATTGCTAATCAAGATATAGTCATATTGATGCTGATAACCATCCATGATTCTATCAAGAATAAGTGTTCGATTGACAGAGTTGTTGATTTTGCTTCTACTTCTTGTAGAAGAGCTTTATGAGGAACTATTTTAGGTTAAATTTCTCTAAAAACTTTTCATAAAATATTTATTTAAATATGTTCAAAAGTAAATTCTTAATCTAAAAAACAACTTGATTTTTCAAAAAGCTTTGCCAAATTCTAAAATATGGATATGCTTCACAAAAGAAACTTAGGGTCAACAAATTTCGAAATTAAAATGCTAAATTTTGTTTCCAAAAAATTGGGTAAGGCTCTCCTACATTTCACTAGTAGTGATGTTATAAATTGCCAACATTTAAAAATGACATTTAGGTCCCCTAACCTATTTAAATTGGTATATTTGGATCCCAAGTGATCAAAATCATCAATGTAGATATTAAAATTACATGCGATTTTCATCAGACTCATAACTATATGGCAAAATTGTCAAACAACTCAATATTTAGCTCCAATTTAACTAAAAGTCATATAAGATATTATCGTCTCAATTGACGATTTTTAGATTCAAATATGTTGGAAAAGTTGAAACGTTACTTTGAGGGTTGAAGACCCATAACTGTACTATATGAAATGAAAGTCCCATTCGATTTTAGCATCTTAATTGACAATTTTCTTCACTTTAGGATCCAAATTTATATATTCAAATAGGTTGGAGAATTCAAAACGTTCATTTAAAGGTTGAAGGCTCATAATCACTATATAAAAAGTTGGAAAGTCCAAATCCAATTTAGCCGAATAAATTTATAGTCTGACACCTCAATATCGGGCTCCCAACACGTATTTGAAAATTCTATAGAATTTGAAAAGAAATTGGTCGTCTCCTCCATAAGAAGATTAACACAGAGAAAAAGTGGGCAACAAAAAGGACAATGCAATTTTACTTCTACAAGAAAACGTGAGAAATGAAAGGCTAAAAATTAATTAAAAGAAATCACTCTCAACGACTTCCATCAAGCTTTTACTTGTCGTTATTGCGGCTTTCTATATGTGGGCCCAGAAAAGCTCCCAAAATTCAGCCTAGCAGGTCGAGATTTTCTTACGTCAATATCTAACAGCACATTTTTACATCGTAAAAGTTATTGCTTAGTCACAAAAAGGGAAAAAATAAAAAATAAAAAAACGTCAAACTACACCGCATTATTATTATTAAGCTAAAATTTTATATAAAATTCGAGACCTGGGAGCCATTAATTACATGCAGGGGCTGAACCAAGGCGGTCCTGGGGCAACTGACCCCCAACTTTTGATACTTGAATTTTTTTTTTTTTTTTTTTTGGGTGTGAATTGATATTTAAATTGTAATCTAAATCAAATTAATCTGATTTTAAACCCCAACAAACAGAGACAAAATCACAATAAATTTGATTTTTTTCCCCTTTTCTCGCACTCTATCTTACTCTCTCCCTTACACTTTTTTATGAAAACCTTAACCCTTCTAATTTAAATTTTTTTTATAATTTTTCTACAAATTATCACATCTACTACAAAAAGTTTACTTTTCAATCAATTAGAACCTAATTGATTATATCCAATTTAACTTATATTTAACGAATTGTATCTATTTGATTGAATATTGGTTATATGTTTTTCCTTTCGATCACTCGAATTGATTGTTTGTATAAAATACAAAATAAATTTTTTAAACGTAAATATGAATTTTCTTGTGATAAATAAAATATTAATATAATCACTGTTCGAAATTAAATGGATGAAAATTATGAGCAAAGTATTAATGAATAAATTTTTTTAAATGTAAATCGTCATTTTCTTGGATTAAGTATAAATTATTTAAAAATCAATAACAAAGTATTCGATTTGTGCAGAATTTGAATGTGCTCCTTAACTAAAAATTTCCGCATTCACCCCTAATGACATGAAACAAATCAAGCAATCAAGTTGGACAAAACAATCATGCTTGTTGTACACTAAGTTTAACAGTTTGCTATGATTTTGCCACATAACAAATTATCATTTGACAATTAAAAAAAAAAGTTATTCATCAAATTATTTTTTTTACAACTAAGCAAGTGTCAATCATGATGTACGCTTTGGAGTGTACAAATGACATTTTCCTAGACAAAATAACTCATGGATGGAAAGTGAAAACATCTCTGAAACATCAATTCGAAAACAGCCTTACTCAAGGCAGCTCAAATCAATCTCTTCTAGTTTACTATTACCATAACTAAATGCTTATTTCACACAGTTCATAAGAAAGAAAACACAAGTGACGTGTTGGAAAATAAAAATAAGATTTTTAATTAAAAGCATGACGTACTCTAGACCCATTCCGCTATTGGTGTGTGGATGATAAGGGTACAAAAGTGAAAATGAAAGTTCAAACTACTATTATTGAAAAGCCTTATTTTATTTATTTATTTTTTTTTTTTACAACTTGATTAATCAAGACAAAAGAATATAAACAGAAAAATTATATATATGGCATAAAGGTGGTAACCCCTACTTACCTTATAATAATTATCATAATTCGTAGCTTTCTCTATCATTTTTTATGCCGACTTGACTTGACCTCAAATTTAATTCATTTTAGTATTGAAAATAATGAAGTTCCTTTGTTCTATCATTACATTCATATGAAAGAGTTGGTTGATGAATTGACGCAACCATTTACAGGAATAATAATAATAATAATAATGACCTCCACAATTTCTTGAGATCCTAATACACAATAGTGAACAAAACTAAAGAAGAAACACGTGAAGTGTTTCATCTCATGTCAATTCTTTAAAGTTCACTTTATCTAACTTGTGTTCAATGCACGTGTCACGAGTAGGCATAACTTTAGCAAATATTTGCATTTCAATAAATCGATTCTTGTCAACTTATAAACTGCAAACTTTGAAGAATATGAGTCCTACGAAATATAAAGAACTGATCAAATCATAATCAATTATATACTTCAACAAACATGAACTAAATGAGTTTTATCATGATCGTAACATATCCGCTTCGATAACAATTACAACAAAGCTCAATACCTTATAATCATCAAGAGAAGCAGCATATGGTTAGCTATTATCATTTTACATGTTGCTAAAGCTATTTGCTTGGTAGAAGGCTGCACATGATGGAGAAGTTGCTATCAAGCAGGTGACTACAAGTGTATTTACACGAGTTATTGCTGCCTCTTAATGTTGCAAAACTTAAGGGGAACTTGTAAATTAGAAATGGACCCAGCATTTAGTTTCATGGTTGCTAATATCAAGCTGATTTTGTTACCATCTACAATTATCAGAGAATCAAAAATCAATATACTATTTCCCAAAAAGATGCAAGTTTGTGCAACAATTACCGAAATGTAGTAGGTCTTTCAAATTATATGGGAAGCAAAACTTAGGTAAATTCGGAAATATGCTGGTCATGTAAATATAATAGCTAACGATACATCTATATTGTAACTCGACACTTGACAGGCTCATGTTCGTTTCAAAGTACAAGAACTTCGAAGTAAAGGTGCCTCCTACCAAGGCATGACAAAGCTACATGAACCCAAAAGTAACCTTCTACAAGGTTTTAGCTTTGCATGGCATTTTTCAATACGATGCTGGGGAAATAATGAATACAGATTCAAACAGAAATAGTTGAAATCCATTCTCATCAAAAAGTTTTCAAACTTGTTCGACTAGTACCAAAACACTTCGAGCTTAGTCAACCAACCTCAAAGCATATATGCCCAAAAGAAGCTCAAAATGACATTGAGAGAAAGAATACAACAAGACCAAACTCATCTAATTGTCACATGTCAATATTCAGTTAGCAAGGCTGAGAATAGTTTCCACGTAATATACAAATTGTGATGGGACACATCAGCAAGGAATGTAATTGCTGGTCATTTCCTAGATGCATATGATGCCAATATGTTTGCATCTTAACGGACGAAAAATGCACACAACCAGTTACAATGTCGTCAGTCATATACAAAAAATAATTTGCAGATATCTATTAATGATACTCCTCAGTTACCCTTTAAGACAACATTCGGATCTTCTTCATCAGACTCAAACTCAACCTGCAAGCAAATGAAACCATCATACAGACCTCTACCAACTTGAAGTGATTTAGTCTATTAAAAATTTATTATGAAAAAGCAAATATACTATGACAACAAAAAATAATAAAACTGACATCAAATTTATTGCTGCAAGTTAAACCCGAAATCCGTACAGTATTACCAATTACTCATAAAGTCAAAGAAATTAAAGCTTACATTTTCATCCTTAAACCACCTGCCATGGCAGTCACGCTTCCAGCCAGCAGCCGTGAACTTCAGTTCCCTCTCTTGACGCTCTCTATAATCCAATTGTTGCACCTGATCAACAACTACTTCCTTTCGAGGCACCTCCATTTCAGTAGATTGACCATATACAAAACTACTAATCACAGATTCACCATCCGGTTTCCTACATTTATTCCTCTGTTCAATGATATCATTAGAAAATATCTCAGAAGCTGCCTTCCGTGTGCGCTCAATCAACGGTTTCTTCCCGTTTCTACATTGTTCATGAGATACATTACTGCCCGAGGTGGACGTATCACACTTTGACAATGCTAATCTCTTACTTATCTCTTCTTGTCTCCATAATTCTCTCTCCTTCTTCTTCGATTCCGCAGCTTTATGGCGTGATCCTCTTCCATGCATCTGAATCCATTATCAACTAAAATTACTTCACTCTTCTCACATCCTCAATTCTCACAATAACAATTTCAATTAATAAAAATGTGAAAATTTAAAAAACAAACTTCAAAATCTACGATCCTGTATCTAAAATCAACTAAGTTATTGCAGTCTTCTAAAATTCTGAACTCAATTACAGTGACAATTTCAAGTAATAAAAACGTGATTAAAAAAGCATACTCAACACTTAGGATCTTTTTCCATGTATCCGGAACAAAAATACACCAAGTTTCCCGTTCAATTACAACAAAAATTTCAAGCAATAAAAATGTGATTAAAAAAAAAAGGCTATACACAAAACTTAGGATCATTTGCAATGTATCTCTGTATCAAAAATCAACTAAAATTCCTAATTCAAATACCAAAACAATTCAAGCAATAAAAATGTGATTATCAAACATATTTCAGAATTTGGGTATGAGATTTTACGGAGAGCAAAAGCGGGGTGTCGAATACAGGGTTGCAAGGGCAAACAAGGCAAGTGAATTTTCCATTGGAAAGTTTCTTGTAAGCAGAAGCGTCGAGGCCTTCAAAAAGTAAATCGTCGACTCTTCTCTTCCGGTATTGAGCCTCACGAGCCCAGCTGTCTCCGCCGAACACGCTCATCTAGGAGAAGATTTCAGGCGTCGATTTCTTATGTGGCGGAAACCTCGATTTAGGGCGTGTAATTATTGGGGGTAGAAAATGATGAACACGAAGGGGATGTTTGGTTGTGAAATGGGTTAATTTGACAAACGGTCACTGAACTTACACGAACATTACAAAACGGTCACTGAAGTTTAAAACTTTCAGTAATGGTCACTTAAGTTTCGGGAGGCTTTCAGAAACGGTCACTGAAGTTTAAAAAACACTTTTTCAATTTTTTGGGCTAGTTTTGCAGTAACTTTCGGCCACTTCCAACCACTGATTCCATCGAATTTTGATACTATTGAAAAGCACACAATGTCCTCTTCAATTATTATCCAAAATCTCTCTATAACTCCAAGGGATTGGACCGAAAAATCACCCAAAAAATCTGAAGATCTATCCAAATTTTCAGATTTTTTGGGTGACTTTTGCGACGACTTCCACCCCCAAGACCATCGGATTTTGATACCGTCAGAAATCTCACAATATCCTCTTCAATTACTACCAAAAATCTTCATCAAACTCCAAAGGATTCGGCCAGAATAAACCCACAAAATCGACTACCCAAAAAGACAAAAATTTGGCCAGATTTTTGGGCTACTTTTGAGGCAACTTTTCAGTAACTTCCGATCACCAATACCAACATATTTTGATACCATTGGAAAGCACACAATGTCATCTTCAAAGAATTCGGCCTGAATAAACTTACAAAGTTGGCTACCTGAAAAGGTGAAAATCTGGGCAGATTTTTCAATTTTTTTTTTGGCGACTTTGCCGTAACTTTTGACCATCAAGACCACCGGATTTTGATACTGTTGGAAAGCCCACAATCTCATTTTCAATTACCACCCAAAATCTCACTATAACTCCAAAGGATTTGGCTGAGATAAATTACAAAGTCAGCATCCCGAATATACGCAAATTTTCGCCTTTTTGAATAGCCGATTTTCACTTCCAATGTGGTCTATGTAGTTTTTAGGCTTCTCACCTGTGTTTCCTATCTTGGTTAGGATAATTCTTTGTTTCCATTTCTTTATCTTTTCCGTTTTCCAACTATAAAATACTTGATCTATTTATCAAAAAAGGTTCAAAAATTTCAATTAATTCATACATTTTTCATAGTAAAACCTTTTTGTTCCCCAAATCAAGACATGAATCCCCATATTTTGACAATTTAAACTCAATACAAAGAAAATGTTCTTAACATAATCGATTTAATGATTGCACGCTTCAACATCAAACTTGCAAGAAAAAATGGAATTAAAAGACATGCTTCGAAAATAAAGAAGCCAAACTTATATCTTTTGGCTTGATATCATCTGGCAGTGGATCTAAATTCATTAATCTGGCCACCACTCCCAGAGATTCTACAACTTTCACTTTTGCCTCATCAGGTTTTAAAGCATTTTCAGGCTTCTCAACTTCTTTGCTGTTCTTGGGACGAGTGCCACTGCACAAAAGCCACTGTATGACGCCAAAGAAACACTTGGTAGACCAATGTGGTTATTCATAATGAAGACTACCGATAGTCCTCCTATGCGATATACACATTGCAGTTTTTTATTTGATGCATTAGGAAAGAAAATACTATCATATTACATCAAAATAACAAATTGCTATGTGTATATCGCGTAGGACGACTAACGGTAGTTTTCACTGTAAATATCATTACTTTTTTCTAATAGCTTTGCTCACATACACTGATTGCTTCATTCCTTTGCGCAAAAATTGGTACGAAAGAGTCTGGCTTAAGAAGCCATAGGTCACTATAAATATGGATCAACTTTCCATCTCTGCACACGCTATCTCATCCTAGCTTGTAGCAATTAACATCCCCAAATGAAGCTTCTCAATGAAAAGAAGCCCAAATATCTACAGTAATTTCTTTTAAAAACCCTTGGTGCAAAAGAGAAGGGAATAGTAAATACCTTCCCGCACTTGTCTAGCCAGAAGAGTTTGGTTAGAAAAATTGAAGTCTCTCTATCCAAGTTCACCAGCACCCTTTGGCCTACATAGCATCGACCATTGAACCTATGCCACTTATGCTTCTTATCATCTCTGCCCCATGAGAACTTTCTGATTAAGGACCAACTATCATTACACAGAGTGTCCAGAACCCTTAATGTACTCATCATATACACTTATTTAGGCCTCCATTCTTAATTGTTTATTGGTAAATTGAACGGATATCTACTTAATTTAATGTAAATAGGATTAATTGTAGATAAAATCTCAGCTTGGATGAACTTGGATGATATTGGCATGAAACATGTAAAATTGGAGAGATATTGGAGTTATATCGGAGCATTTGAAGATCAATCGAGATGTCAACTGTTCAACTGGAAGTATCAATGGAACAATAAAAGAAAATTTATAAGTTTCATTAGTTAAATTCAACAATTGAAAATTTTGGAGATTTAATTGCAAACTTTTAGAACATACGTTTAGTCAATTATTAATGATTTTTTTAATAATGAAGGCCTAATTATGAAGATTTAAAAATGAAGAACTAAATGAACAAATCAGAAAAGACTCAAGTTGAACCAAGACAAGAACCCGGAGATCAAAATGTACAAAAGGTAATCTTGTGCCCTTGAGGTCGCAAAGGCCTTAAACTTTTGGAGATGTAGGCAAAAGTACCCAACGGTGAGATCTCAATCTAGTCGCATAGCTTTTTCTTGAGAAAATTTTGGTTTCCTTCTTTGATTAGCAGTGGCGAAGCCAACACTTGACAAGGAAGCGCGATCGTGCGCGTTGGCTCCATTGAAGTTTACAGTCATTGTCAAGTGGAATTTATAGTGCCTGCCAATGGAAGAATTGAAAGAAAGATGAAACACAATGACTCTTAGGTTTGGCCATTTCATTTGGGTCATGTTTTTTGATTTGTTTAAGTTTTGGGCCTTTTCTGGGCCTCTTATTTTTAAAATAAAACCAAGCTCAGCTATAAATTCCATTACCATTCACCCACCATATCTCGACCATTCCAATTGAAAAATCAATTACATTTGCAAATCTTTGTTCGCCGGTTCTTCCTTGTGATTGCAAACACTACGGTTGTCAGTAGGCCTTCCTAGTTTCCTGTGCTTGTTGCTGTCATCGGCAAGCCTTGATGTCGGCATCTCCAAATCTCTGTATCTATTTTTGGTCCTAACAAATTGGAAATAAATATTTAGATTATGTGTCCCAAATTAGGGTAGATTTTTTTGGAAAATATTGCTTCCATATTTTCACGTGATTTTATTGAAAAATATTATTTCCTTTATTTCACATTAATTTTTATATTATTTTCATCTTTATGATATTTTTAGGGTTTGGTATGTCCCTATAAATATGTGACTCTTCATTCAATTTAAGTGAAGCTTTATTGCTGAATTCTTGGATTCTCTCCACTTATTGTCTTTAATAAAATATTGATTTATCTACTAATCTCTCTTCAATTTCTTTATTTTAATCTTGTTTTCTTCGTTGTGATATTACATATTTCATATTTTTCATTAATCTCAATTCTTGCATCGCCTCCAATTGCAACAAAAAGAAGGTGTTTCTCTTCTTCCGAGTTTTACAATACCAATTAAATACTTTGAAATTGAAATGCTTGATTGATAATGGTTTTTGTCCTTGAAGCACAGGAAAGCAAAATACTTACATTCATCGATTTTATGTGGAATCCAATTTCCGACTTTCTTCATTCTTATTGATTGTGGTCTATAACTGTAAATCCCGTCGACTTTTTTTTGGTATGTTAACTTATGATTAATATGACTGTAAGAAAAGAATGTAGAAGAATAATGTGTAGAATTTAGAAGAAATGTATAAAGTGAGACTATCGTCTGTCTGTGAGAGATGAAAGTAGAAGAATAATAATTAAGAAAGGGTAAGAGATAAAAAGGCAAATATTAGAACCAATTTTAATAGAAAATTTTTAGTCGTGTTCTCTATTTTTTAACCAATTTTAATTGAAAAATAATTTGGGGCATTTTGCAAATTATGGAATGATTCTTTCAGCCGAAACTAAAGTCCATACCTAGTTCGTCTAATTCTAGTGAGGCATCTAGTCCTGCCACTATTTCTAATCCAGCACATGAGTTGTTAAATGACACAAAGAAGTCTTGGGCTCAATTCAATCTGTATGATTTTGTATCTGATGCAGGGAAACATCCTTTATCGAGTCATATAATCCTACTATCAGAGATGGTGTTGTATGGCGTACTTAGAAAAATGTCATTTTCAACCACATGGACACGACTTTCCAAAAAGATCGATGGGTAATGATAATAGGTGTTTTAGGAGAAAATGGTTCTCCTAATTTTATTGGTTGGAGTACAGTATAGAGAATGATGCGACTTATTGTTTGTATTACTATTTGTTCAAAATCGATAGAGGATGTCAAGGGAGTGGACATGCATTCACTAAGACTAGCTTTAGGGATTGGAAGCACAAAAAGACTTTGAAAGATCACAATAGGTTTATTTGATAGTGCTCACAATCAAGCTTTCACTAAGTATACCAACTTGATTAATAAAAAATAAAGCATCTCCTATGTTATTTCTAGCCAAAGTAGTAGCCGACAAAAAAGTTATAGGATAATGTTGATTGCGGTGTTAGATTGTACTAAATTCCTTTTTGATGCAAGGATTGCCTTTCCGTGGTCATGATGAATCAAAAGAGTCCCTGATAGAGGAATCTAATTGAGCTACTAGACTCGTATGCATTTTGTTGTGAGGAATTTAAGGAAATCGTATTTACTAATGCCCCCAGAAATAACCAAATGACTTCACCAAACATCTAAAAGGATTTGGTTAACTATTGTGCCGTAGAGACAAGTGCTATTATGAATGAGATGAATGATTCTCTGTTTTCATTTTTGGCTGATGAGGCTCGTGATAATTCTATAAGGTAAAAAATGGAGTTTGTTTTAAGATTTGTGGAAAAAAGTGGGCAAGTGAATGATCGTTTGTTAGGCATTTCTCATGTCCCTAATACTTGTGCCCAATCACTTACGGATGCCATTGATACAATGTTTTCTATACATGGGTTGAACATATTTAGCCTAAGAGATCAAGGTTATGATAGAGCAAGCAATATGTCAGGAGAGTTCAATTGGTCGAAGGCTTTAATTTTAAGAGAGAACCTATATGCTATATATGATCATTACTTTGCTCACCAACTTTCGTTGGTAGTTGTTTCTGTGGCATGCAGGAATCATATGCTTGGGGATTTATTTAACATGCTTGCTATTATTTTTTGGTGCATCATGTATGTATATAAATGCTATGCTTTTCGAGCAAGTTACATTCTGAAGTTTTGGAAAAGCTTAATATTGGGGAACTTTGTGGTGGTAGTGGAAGATTCGCGAAGGGAGTTTGGCCCGTCTAGGTGATACTAGATGGTGCTCACATCTACTGACAGTTACTCGTGTTATTGATATGTTTAGTGCTATCATAGATGTTCTTGAGAATATATCAGAAGGTGGCATAAATTCATATAAGAGATCAACGGCTACAAGAAAGATGAGTACTATGCAAGATTTTGGGTTAGCGATCAGTCTCCACTTTATGTTTGAAATTATTGCAATTACAGATAATATTTCACAAGCCTTACAAAGAAAGGATTAGGATATTCAAAATGCTATTAGATTATTGAATTTGTGTAAGTATGCATTGCAGGACATGAGGAACAATGGTTGGGATAATTTGTTGAGTAGGGTGATTGAGTGTTGTGTTGGTAGAAATATTTTAGTGCTCAATCTGGAGAATATTGTAGTAGTATTGAGAGGCCAACCTAGGCATGCAGCTCAACAGGTAACTTATTATCATCACTTTATGTCAATTTGTATTGTCATTTGATAAACTCAATCTTACAAGAGTTGAATGATTGTTTTTCAGATATAACTACTTAGCTCTTTATTTGCATTTCATGTTTAAGTCCAAGAGATTCATTCACAGGTTTTGATTTGGCTAAATTGCCACTCTTGCTTAGTTCTATCATTTGGACTTCAACCGTAAAGAGCTCTTATTACTAAGACCTCAACTTGACAAATTTCTTATGCTTGTGAGAAGGGACGAAGCTTTCTTTAACCTGAATAGCATATATTGTGTGGCTCCAAAGGTGGTTAAAACAAGAAGTTCTTGTTATTTTCGATTGGTTTATATGTTGATCACCTTGGTTTTGATATTACCCTAACACTTGCAAGTGTTAAAAGGGTATTCTCTATTATAAATCTAATCAAGAGTGACTTGCATAACAAAATGGGAGATGATTGGTGAAATGACAATTTGGTGGTTTACATGGAAAAAGAGATTTATGGAAAAATTAAGAATGAGGCCATCTTGCAATGCTTTCAAAATATGAGACCTAGTATAATGCAGTTGTCTAAATTTACAATTACAGAGTGAGGTTTTATCATGTATGCTTTATATTATTTTGGATTGTATCGAATTATAGTTTCATATGTCTGTGATTTTTACATTTTTTTGTATTTACAAGTAGATTGAAGAATTTTTAATATTATTTAATTAAATATTAATAAACGACATTGCTATTACGATCGTTGACTATCAACGATCAACGTGTGTCCTAACTGATTTCTAATTCTGGATCTTCCACTGTTGACTAGTCTTATATTTGGTAACCAATTGGAATACAAATTTTAACTAATTATTGAGTCTATAAATACTTAACCCTTGTTTGATGGCAATTATTTTGAAAGAATAACGTTTGAATAATGATTTTTGAATTAAAAAGTAGGAAAATCTTATATGCTAAATATTTTATTATGCGCATGTGTGACGAAAAATGATAATAAGAATTGACAATCATTCTGTAAGTATAGACAATTTTAACACAAAATGTTTATAGACAACACATGGCATGTATTCATTGGAAGATGAAAGGAAAAAAAAGGTTAATCACATTTCGCCACGTCAACTCCGGTAACAAATCTATCAAAAATTTCTTGTTGTTGGCTTTTTCCGAGAATTAAAGAGTTTTGAAATTTTTTACCCTCAGTCTTGTTGTTTGATTAAAGTTGGCTTTAATTAGAAATTTGATTAAGCACGAGTTCTTGTGGAACCCATGCTTTGTTAATTCTTTATTACTTGGCTATGATACCATACACTTACGGAATTTTAGCAATGAGTATTAGAAGTGAATAAAACACAAGCATAAGCACATCGCAGACACAAACACAAACACAAACACAAACACAAACACAAAAAAAGTCAAATAAGGTAACAGCTCATGATAACATTATGCTCTAAATAACTTGTTTCATAGAAGAAAAGATCGAACTTTAAAGGGAAACAAAACACAAATCTCCAATACATGAAATTAATGCTCTAATTAAGACAGACATCTACCTTTATTTGTTCAAAACATTATTCAAACCAGTCCTCGGAAAAGAAAATATATATTGAGCAACACAATTATAGCTCGAAGAGCGCGCGCGCGCGTGTAATTGTACGAAGCAGTTTTTTGGCCGTTAATACCAACGGAAGAGTGGCCAAACGACAAATTTCATCATCCCAGTTTTGCAATGAAATCCGTTGCGTTCGCCACAGGCAAAATAATAGGGCTGCCATGTCTTAAGCACAAACTCAAAACCTTCTCCTCCTCCTTGTGTCGCTTGTGCGATCTTCTTTGCTCTTCTCAAATCACAGTTTTGGAAACTCCATAAATTTGGAAGCAGGTAAACACTGTGAGGAAATGTCGTGTCGTTTGGGGGATCAAACTTGAATACTGCACGCATGCAACAAATCAAAATCAGTTGTTTAGATATTGGAAACAATAAGCAAGATATAAGAGCTCAAGTAATTCATCCTAACAAAACCGTTTAACATGGACTTATTATTCGACAATATTTTAACCTAAATAACTGATATCTAATATAAACGTAAACTCGACAACGAAACGGCAACATACCGAGTGTGTCATTCAAGTGAAAGGGTCCATTTATTTCACACAGTTCATAAGAAAGAAAACACAAGTGACGTGTTGGAAAATAAAAATAAGATTTTTAATTAAAAGCATGACGTAACCCATTCCGCTATTGGTGTGTGGATGATAAGGGTACAAAAGTGAAAATGAAAGTTCAAACTACTATTATTGAAAAGCCTTATTTTATTTATTTATTTTTTTTTTTTACAACTTGATTAATCAAGACAAAAGAATATAAACAGAAAAATTATATATATGGCATAAAGGTGGTAACCCCTACTTACCTTATAATAATTATCATAATTCGTAGCTTTCTCTATCATTTTTTATGCCGACTTGACTTGACCTCAAATTTAATTCATTTTAGTATTGAAAATAATGAAGTTCCTTTGTTCTATCATTACATTCATATGAAAGAGTTGGTTGATGAATTGACGCAACCATTTACAGGAATAATAATAATAATAATAATGACCTCCACAATTTCTTGAGATCCTAATACACAATAGTGAACAAAACTAAAGAAGAAACACGTGAAGTGTTTCATCTCATGTCAATTCTTTAAAGTTCACTTTATCTAACTTGTGTTCAATGCACGTGTCACGAGTAGGCATAACTTTAGCAAATATTTGCATTTCAATAAATCGATTCTTGTCAACTTATAAACTGCAAACTTTGAAGAATATGAGTCCTACGAAATATAAAGAACTGATCAAATCATAATCAATTATATACTTCAACAAACATGAACTAAATGAGTTTTATCATGATCGTAACATATCCGCTTCGATAACAATTACAACAAAGCTCAATACCTTATAATCATCAAGAGAAGCAGCATATGGTTAGCTATTATCATTTTACATGTTGCTAAAGCTATTTGCTTGGTAGAAGGCTGCACATGATGGAGAAGTTGCTATCAAGCAGGTGACTACAAGTGTATTTACACGAGTTATTGCTGCCTCTTAATGTTGCAAAACTTAAGGGGAACTTGTAAATTAGAAATGGACCCAGCATTTAGTTTCATGGTTGCTAATATCAAGCTGATTTTGTTACCATCTACAATTATCAGAGAATCAAAAATCAATATACTATTTCCCAAAAAGATGCAAGTTTGTGCAACAATTACCGAAATGTAGTAGGTCTTTCAAATTATATGGGAAGCAAAACTTAGGTAAATTCGGAAATATGCTGGTCATGTAAATATAATAGCTAACGATACATCTATATTGTAACTCGACACTTGACAGGCTCATGTTCGTTTCAAAGTACAAGAACTTCGAAGTAAAGGTGCCTCCTACCAAGGCATGACAAAGCTACATGAACCCAAAAGTAACCTTCTACAAGGTTTTAGCTTTGCATGGCATTTTTCAATACGATGCTGGGGAAATAATGAATACAGATTCAAACAGAAATAGTTGAAATCCATTCTCATCAAAAAGTTTTCAAACTTGTTCGACTAGTACCAAAACACTTCGAGCTTAGTCAACCAACCTCAAAGCATATATGCCCAAAAGAAGCTCAAAATGACATTGAGAGAAAGAATACAACAAGACCAAACTCATCTAATTGTCACATGTCAATATTCAGTTAGCAAGGCTGAGAATAGTTTCCACGTAATATACAAATTGTGATGGGACACATCAGCAAGGAATGTAATTGCTGGTCATTTCCTAGATGCATATGATGCCAATATGTTTGCATCTTAACGGACGAAAAATGCACACAACCAGTTACAATGTCGTCAGTCATATACAAAAAATAATTTGCAGATATCTATTAATGATACTCCTCAGTTACCCTTTAAGACGACATTCGGATCTTCTTCATCAGACTCAAACTCAACCTGCAAGCAAATGAAACCATCATACAGACCTCTACCAACTTGAAGTGAGTTAGTCTATTAAAAATTTATTATGAAAAAGCAAATATACTATGACATCAAAAAATAATAAAACTGACATCAAATTTATTGCTGCAAGTTAAACCCGAAATCCGTACAGTATTACCAATTACTCATAAAGTCAAAGAAATTAAAGCTTACATTTTCATCCTTAAACCACCTGCCATGGCAGTCACGCTTCCAGCCAGCAGCCTGAACTTCAGTTCCCTCTCTTGACGCTCTCTATAATCCAATTGTTGCACCTGATCAACAACTACTTCCTTTCGAGGCACCTCCATTTCAGTAGATTGACCATATACAAAACTACTAATCACAGATTCACCATCCGGTTTCCTACATTTATTCCTCTGTTCAATGATATCATTAGAAAATATCTCAGAAGCTGCCTTCCGTGTGCGCTCAATCAACGGTTTCTTCCCGTTTCTACATTGTTCATGAGATACATTACTGCCCGAGGTGGACGTATCACACTTTGACAATGCTAATCTCTTACTTATCTCTTCTTGTCTCCATAATTCTCTCTCCTTCTTCTTTGATTCTGCAGCTTTATGGCGTGAACCTCTTCCATGCATCTGAATCCATTATCAACTAAAATTACTTCACTCTTCTCACATCCTCAATTCTCACAATAACAATTTCAATTAATAAAAATGTGAAAATTTTAAAAACAAACTTCAGAATTTACGATCCTGTATCTAAAATCAACTAAGTTATTGCAGTCTTCTAAAATTCTGAACTCAATTACAGTGACAATTTCAAGTAATAAAAACGTGATTAAAAAAGCATACTCGACACTTAGGATCTTTTCCATGTATCCGGAACAAAAATACACTAAGTTTCCGGTTCAATTACAACAAAAATTTCAAGCAATAAAATGTGATTTAAAAAAAAAAAAAAAAAGGCTATACACAAAACTTAGGATCTTTTGTAATGTATCTTTGTATCAAAAATCAACTAAAATTCCTAATTCAAATACCAAAACAATTCAAGCAATAAAAATGTGATTATCAAACATATTTCAGAATTTGGGTATGAGATTTTACGGAGAGCAAAAGCGGGGTGTCGAATACAGGGTTGTGAGGGCAAACAAGGCAAGTGAATTTTCCATTGGAAAGTTTCTTGTAAGCAGAAGCGTCGAGGCCTTCGAAAAGTAAATCGTCGACTCTTCTCTTCCGGTATTGAGCCTCACGAGCCCAGTTGTCTCCGCCGAACACGCTCATCTAGGAGAAGATTTCTGGCGTCGATTTCGTATGTGGCGGAAACCTCGAATTAGGGCGTGTAATTATTGGGGTAGAAAATGATGAAAACGAAGGGGATGTTTGGTTGTGAAATGGGTTAATTTCACAAACGGTCACTGAACTTACGCGAAAATTACAAAACGGTCACTGAGGTTTAAAACTTTCAGTAACGGTTACTTAAGTTTCGGGAGGCTTTCAGAAACGGTCATTGAAGTTTAAAAAAAATACTTTTTTCAATTTTTTGTGCTAGTTTTGCAATAACTTTTCAGCCACTTCTAATTATTGATACCGTCGAATTTTGATATTGTTGGAAAGCTCACAATGTCTTCTTCAATTATCATCCAAAATCTCTCCGTAACTCCAAGGGATTCGATCGAAAAATCCCCCAAAAAATCTAAAAATCTGCACAAATTTTCAAATTTTTTGGGCGACTTTTGCAACGACTTTCGCCGCCAAGCCATCGGATTTTGATACCGTCGAAAATCCCACAATATCCTCTTCAATTACCACCCAAAATCTCTCTCAAACTCCAAAGGATTCGGTTAGAATAAACCCACAAAATCGGCTACCCAAAAGGCAAAAATTTGGGCAGATTTTTTGGGCTACTTTTGAGGTAGCTTTTCAGTAACTTTCGACCATCAAGACCGTCGAATTTTGATATCGTTGGAAAGCTCACAATCTCCTTTTCAATTACCATCCAAAATCTCACCATAACTCCAAAGGATTTGGCTGGGATAAACCATAAAGTCAGCATCCCGAATATAGGCAAATTTTCGCTTTTTTAGGTAGCCAATTTTTGCCTGCAATGTGGTCTATGTAGTTTTTAGGCTTCTCACCAGTGTTTCCTATCTTGGTTAGGATAATTCTTTGTTTCCATTCCTTTACCTTTTCCGTTTTCCAACTATAAAATACTTGATCTATTTATCAAAAAAGGTTCAAAATTTTCAATTAATTCATACATTTTTCATGGTAAAATTGTTCCCCAAATCAAGACATGAATCCCCATATTTTAAAAATTTAAACTCAATACAAAGAAAATGTTCTTAACATAATTGATTTAATGATTGCACCCTTCAACATCAAACTTGCAAGAAAAAATGGAATTAAAAGACATGCTTCGAGAATAAAGAAGGCAAACTTATATCTTTTGGCTTGATATCATATGGCAGTGGATCTAAATTCATTAATCTGGCCACCACTCCCAAAGATTCTACAACTTTCACTTTTGCCTCATCAGGTTTTAAAGCATTTTCAGGCTTCTCAACTTCTTTGCTGTTCTTGGGATGAGTGCCACTGCACAAAAACCACCATATGACGCCAAAGAAACACTTGGTAGACCAATTTGGTTATTCATAATGAAAACTACCGATAGTCGTCCTATGCGATATACACATTGCGGTTTTTTATTTGATGCATTAGGAATGAAAATACTATCATATTAATACATCAAAATAACAAACTGCTATGTGTATATCGCGTAGGACGACTAACCGTAGTTTTCACTGTAAATATCATTACTCTTATCTAATAGCTTTGCTCACATACACTGCTTGCTTCATTCCTTTGCGCAAAAATTGGTACGAAAGAATCTGGCTTAAGAAGCCATAGGTCACTATAAATATGGATCAACTTTCCATCTCTGCACACGCTATCTCATCCTAGCTTGTAGCAATTAACATCCCCAAATGAAGCTTCTTAAAGAAAAGAAGCCCTAATATCTACAGTAATTTCCTTTAAAAACCCTAGGTGCAAAAGAAAAGGGAATAATAAATACGTTCCCGCACTTGTTTAGCCAGAAGAGTTTGGTTAGAAAAATTGAAGTCTCTCTATCCAAGTTCACCAGCACCCTTTGGCCTACATAGCATCGACCATTGAACCTATGCCACTTTATGCTTCTTATCATCTCTGCCCCATGAGAACCTTCTGATGAAGGACCAACTATCATTACATAGAGTGTCCAGAACCCTTAATGTACTCATCATAAACTAATAAATGCATATATACACTTATTTAGGCCTCCATTCTTAATTGTTTATTGGTAAATTGAACGGATATCTACTTAATTTAATGTAAATAGGATTAATTGTAGATAAAATCTCAGCTTGGATGAACTTGGATGATATTGGCATGAAACATGTAGAATTGGAGCGAAATTGGAGTTATATCGGAGCATTTGAAGATCAATCGAAATGTCAACTGTTCAGCTGGAAGTATCAGTGGAACAATAAAAGGAAACTCATAAGTTTCATGAGTTAAATTCAACAATTGAAAATTTTGGAGATTTAATTGCAAACTTTTAGAACATACGTTTAATCAATTATTAATGATTTTTGAATAATGAAGGCCTAATTATGAAGATTTAAAAATGAAGAACTAAATGAATAAATAAGAAAAGACTCAAGTTGAACCAAGAGAAGAACCCGGAGATCAAAACGTACAAAAGGTAAACTTGTGCCCTTGAGGTCGCAAAGGCCTTAAACTTTTGGAGCAGTAGGCAAAAGTACCCAATGGTGAGATCTCAACCTAGTCGAATAGCATTTTCTTGAGAAAATTTTGGTTTCCTTCTTTAATTAGCAGTGGCGGAGCCAACACTTTACAAGGAAGTGCGATCGTGCGTGTTGGCTTCGTCGAAGTTTAGAGTCATTGTCAAGCGGAATTTATAGTGGTTGCCAATGGAAGAATTGAAAGAAAGATGAAACACAATGACTCTCAAGTTTGGCTATTTCAGTTTGGGTCATGTTTTTTGATTTGTTTAAGTTTTGGGCCTTTTCTGGGCCTCTTATTTTTAAAATAAAACCAGGCTCAGCTATAAATTCCATTATCATTTACACACCATATCTCGACCATTCCAATTGAAAAATCAATTACATTTGCAAACCTTTGTTCGCCGGTTCTTCCTTGTGATTGCAAACACTACGGTCGTCAGTAGGCCTTCCTAGTTCCCTATGCTTGTTGCTGTCGTCGACAAGCCTTGATGTCGGCATCTCCAACTCTCTGTCTCTATTTTTGGTCCTAACAAATTGGAAGAAAAGTGTTAGATTATGTGCCCCAAATTAGGGTGAATTTTTTGGAAAATATTGTTTCCATATTTTCACGTGATTTTATTGAAAAATATTATTTCTTTTATTCCACATTAATTTTTATATTATTTTCATCTTTATGCTATTTTTAGGGTTTGGTATGTCCCTATAAATTTGTGGCTCTTCATTCAGTTTAAGTGAAGCTTTATTGCTGAATTCTTGTATTCTCTCCATTTATTGTCTTTAATAAAATATTGATTTATCTGCTAATCTCTCTTCAATTTCTTTATTTTAATCTTGTTTTCTTCGTTGTGATCGTATATATTTCATATTTTTCATTAATCTCAATTCTTGCATCCCCTCCAGTTCCAACAAAAAGAAGGTGTTTCTCTTCTTCCGAGTTTTCCAATACCAGTTAAATACTTTGAAATTGAAATGCTTGATTGATAATGGTTTTAGTCCTTGATGCACAGGAAAGCAAAATACTTACATTCATCGATTTTATGTGGAATCCAATTTCTGACTTTCTTCATTCTTATTGATTGTGGTCTATAACTGTAAATCCCGTCGACTTTTTTTTGGGTATGTTAACTTATGATTAATATGACTGTAAGAAAAGAAAGTAGAAGAATAATGTGTAGAATTTAGAAGAAATGTATAAAGGAGACTATGGTCTGTTTGTGAGAGAAGAAGGTAGAAGAATAATAGAAAGGGAAAGAGAGAATGCAGTTGAATAAGAAGGGAAAAAGAGATAAAAAGGCAAATATTAGAATCAATTTTAATTGAAAATTTTTAGTTGTGTTCTCTGTTTTTTAACCAATTTTAATTGAAAAATAATTTGGGGCATTTTGTAGATTATGGAATGACTCTTTCAGTCGAAACTAAAGTCCATACCTAGTTCTTCCAATTCTAGTGATGCATCTAGTCCTGCCACTATTTTTAATCCAGCACATGAGTTGTTAAATGACACAAAGAAGTCTCGGGCTCAATTCAATGTGTATGATTTTGTATCTGATACAGGAAAACGTCCTTTATTGAGTCATATAATCCTACTATCAGAGATGGTGTTGGATGGCATACTTAGAAAACTGTCATTTTCAACCACATGGACACAACTTTTCAAAAAGATTGATGGGTAATGATAATAGGTGTTTTAGGAGAAAATGGTTCTCCTAATTTTATTGGTTGGAGTACAGTATAGAGAATGATGTAACTTATTGTTTGTATTACTATTTGTTCAAACTCGATAGAGGATGTCAAGAGAGTGGAGATGCATTCACTAAGACTAGCTTTAGGGATTGGAAGCACAAAAAGACTTTGAAAGATCACAATAAATCTATTTGATAGTTCTCACAATCAAACTTTCACTAAGTATACCAACTTGATTAATAAAAAATAAAGCATCTCCTATGTTATTTCTAACCAAAGTAGTAGCCAACAAAAAAGTTATAGGACAATGTTGATTGCGGTGTTAGATTGTACTAAATTCCTTTTAATGCAAGGATTGCCTTTCCGTGGTCATGGTGAATCGAAAGAGTCCCTTAATAGAGGAATCTAATTGAGCTACTAGACTCGTATGCATTTCGTTGTGAGGAATTTAATGTAATAGTATTTACTAATGCCCCCAGAAATAACCAAATGACTTCACCAAACATCTAAAAAGATTTGGTTAACTGTTGTGTCGTAGAGACAAGTGCTATTATGAATGAGATGGATGATTCTCTATTTTTAGTTTTGGCTGATGAGGCTCGTGATAATTCTATAAGGTAAAAAATGGAGTTTGTTTTAAGATTTGTGGAAAAAGTGGGCAAGTGAATGATCGTTTTTTAGGCATTTCTCATGTCCCTGATATTTGTGCCCAATCACTTACGGATGCTATTGATGCAATGTTTTCTATACATGGGTTGAACATATTTAGCCTAAGAGATCAAGGTTATGATAGAGCAATTAATATGTCAGGAGAGCTCAATGGGTTGAAGGCTTTAATTTTAAGAGAGAACCTATATGCTATGTATGTTCATTACTTTGTTCATCAACTTGAGTTGCTAGTTGTTTCTGTGGCATGTAGGAATCATATGCTTGGGGATTTATTTAACATGCTTGTTATTATTGTTTGGTGCATCATGTATGCATGTAAATGCTCTTCGAGCAAGTTATCATTCTGAAGTTTTGGAAAAACTTATTATTGGGGAACTTTGTGGTGGGAGTGGAAGATTCACGAAGGGAGTTTGGCCTTTCTATGTGATACTAAATGGTGCTCACATCTACTAATAGTTACTCGTGTATTGATATGTTTAGTGTTATCATAGATGTTCTTGAAAATATATCAGAAGGTGGCATAAATTCATATAAGAGATCAATGGCTACAAGAAAGATGAGTACTATGCAAGATTTTGGGTTGGTGATCAGTCTCCACTTTGTGTTTGAAATTATTGCAATTACAAATAATATTTCACAAGCCTTACAAAGAAAGGATTAGGATATTCAAAATGCTATTAAATTATTGAATTTGTGTAAGTATGCATCGGAGGACATGAGGGACAATGGTTGGGATAATTTATTGAGTATGGTGATTGAGTGTTGTGTTAGTAGACATATTTTAGTGCTCAATATGGAGAATATTGTAGTATTGAGAGGCCAACCTAGGCATGCAGCTCAATAGGTAACATAATATCATCACTTTATGTTAATTTGTATTGTCCTTTGATAAACTCAATCTTACAAGAGTTGAATGATCGTTTTTTAGATATAACTACTCAGCTCTTTGTTTGCATTTCATGTTTAAGTCCAAGAGATTCATTCACAACTTTTGATCTGGCTATATTGCCACTCTCGCTTAGTTCTATCCTTTGGACTTCAACCGTAAAGAGCTCTTATTACTAAGACCTCAACTTGACAAATTTCTTATGCTTATGAGAAGGGACGAAGCTTTCTTTAACCTAAATAGCATATATTGTGTGGTTCCAAAGTTGGTTGAAACAAGAAGTTCTTGTTATTTTCGATTGGTTTATATGTTGATCACCATGGTTTTGATATTATCCTGATACCTGCAAGTGTTAAAAGGGTATTCTCTATTATAAATATAATCAAGAGTGACTTGCATAACAAAATGGGAGATGATTGGTGAAATGACAATTTGGTGGTTTACATGGAAAAAGAGATTTATGGAAAAATTAAGAATGAGGCCATCTTGCAATGCTTTCAAAATATGAGACCTTGTATAATGCAGTTGTCTAAGTTTACAATTACGGAGTGAGGTTATATCATGTATGTTTTATTATTATTTTGGATTGTATCGAATTATATTTTCATATGTATGTGATTTTTACATTTTTGTGTATTTACAAGTAGATTGAAGAATTTTTAATATTATTTAATTAAATATTAATAAACGACATTGCTATTACGATCGTTGACTATCAACGATCAACGTATGTCCTAACTGATATCTAATTCTGGAGCTGCCACTTTTGACTAGTCTTATATTTGGTAACCAATTGGGATACAACTTTTAACTAATTATTGAGTCTATAAATAATTAATCCTTGTTTGATGACGATTATTTTGAAAGAATGACGTTTGAATAATGATTTTTTGAATTAAAAAGTAGGAAAATCTTATATACTAGATATTTTATTATGTGCATGTGTGACGAAAAATGAGAATAAGAATTGACAATCATTCTATAAGCATAGACAATTTTAAAAGAAAATGTTTATAGACAACACATGACATGTATTCATTGGAAGATGAATCATATTTAGCCATGTCAACTCTGGTAACAAATCTGTCAAAAATTTATTGTAGTTAGCTTTTTCCGAGAACTAAAGAGTTTTGAAATTTTTTACCCTCAATCTTGTTGTTTGATTAAAGTTGGCTTTAATTAGAAATTTGATTAAGCACAAGTTCTTGTGGAACCAATGCTTTGTTAATTCTTTATTACTTGGCTGTGATACCATACGCTTACATAATTTTAGCAATGAGTATTAGAAGTGAATAAAACACAAGCATAAGCACATCGCAAACACAAACACAAACACAAACACAAAAAAAGTCAAATAAGGTAACAGCTCATGATAACATTTATGCTCTAAATAACTTGTTTCATAGAAGAAAAGATCGAACTTTAAAGGGAAACAAAACACAAATCTCCAATACATGAAATTAATGCTCTAATTAAGACAGACATCTACCTTTATTTGTTCAAAACATTATTCAAACCAGTCCTCGGAAAAGAAAATATATATTGAGCAACACAATTATAGCTCGAAGAGCGCGCGCGCGCGTGTAATTGTACGAAGCAGTTTTTTGGCCGTTAATACCAACGGAAGAGTGGCCAAACGACAAATTTCATCATCCCAGTTTTGCAATGAAATCCGTTGCGTTCGCCACAGGCAAAATAATAGGGCTGCCATGTCTTAAGCACAAACTCAAAACCTTCTCCTCCTCCTTGTGTCGCTTGTGCGATCTTCTTTGCTCTTCTCAAATCACAGTTTTGGAAACTCCATAAATTTGGAAGCAGGTAAACACTGTGAGGAAATGTCGTGTCGTTTGGGGGATCAAACTTGAATACTGCACGCATGCAACAAATCAAAATCAGTTGTTTAGATATTGGAAACAATGAGCAAGATATAAGAGCTCGAGTAATTCATCCTAACAAAACCGTTTAACATGGACTTATTATTCGACAATATTTTAACCTAAATAACTGATATCTAATATAAACGTAAACTCGACAATGAAACGGCAACATACCAAGTGTGTCATTCAAGTAAAAGGGGCCATTTCTGATAGCCCAATCAGTATAATTAAACCCAAAATGCCAATTCTCAGAACCGCCAACAATTATTCTGTTCGAAGTTTGATTCGCATTCAAGTGTCCATAAGGCCAGCCTGCAGTGTGATTCCAGTTTCCATTCCAACCTGCACTGAAATTCTTGTTGGCCATTCCAATGCCAAACAGGGATATGGCTACAAGAATCAAAAGGGCTCCTGCATTTCCCAAACCCATGTTATTTTTTCCTCTTTGGAAAATGTACATTTTTAATTGAAGTTTACAGGAGTAAATTATATGCGTTGATGTAATGAAGAGATGGTATGTGGCATTTTATAGTAAAAGTTTTTAGGAATTAAGTCAAAATATATGTAAGTTGGCAGAAATCAGGAAAAAAAAAAAATCTTTTCTCTTAAGTTGGTTGGTAAGACTGAAAATTATTAGTGTAAAAAGTTGATTTTTAGAAGTGTTTTTTCTTACATTTTCCAGGTCAATATCCACATGGGTTGCAATTAATCCTATTTAGTATATGTTAAGAATCTTCCATTTATTGTGATAAAAATAAACAAAAATCCTTCAAGAATCCGATAGAATGGTTCAAGAAAGAATTACGACCTATCATTCTTGCTTAACCTACTTTAATTAAATATGCCAGTTTCCTCTTTTCGGGGAAGTTCGATTCGTTGCATAAATTTGATCTTTTAAATATTTTTGGCATTCGTTCTTTAATCTTAATAATACGAAGTGAAAAGATTATATGAACCAACAAAAAATGGGTTTGAGTCAGGTAGTGTGACACAAGTTTAACTTGAATTGTTGTAAAATTGCTTGCATGGAATGGAGATTTACAATTTACGTTTAAAGAGAAGCTTGAAACATGCCCTGTGTTTGATATAGATTAAAAAATCAATTAATTTTATCATATATTTTATCAATTCGACAACTTTTCAATCATATATTTTATTAATTTTTATCAAAATCTATTAAAAATTTGATTTTAATACACACCAAACAGGAACATAGATTTTTTCAGTGCTGTTATACTCATAAAATCGTGCAATTATTAAAAACTTGATAAAAACGAGTTTAAGCTATACATGAGATGTGAATTGATAATAAAAACGATAAGTCTTTATTCTTAATAAATTAAAGATTGACTACTTTTATTCCCTTTTGCTATTCTATTCAGGTTGCTAGAATTTTTAATTCTAGAAATTGCTCGATTCTCCATCAACTTGCAATTGGGTGGGGCGGCGGGTTAATTCACAACAGTTTGGCTTGGAACTCTAGCCAGTTTTTAAAATTAAATATAGTGTATTTTTCAATAAAAAAAAAAAATTGTCAAAGAAGGCAGCAATTCATCATCGCACGGGAAAATAATACGGAAGTATTGCATTTCTACCTGAAAAAATAGATGATATTGGACTGACGCAATGTTGACGTAAATATGGAGATTTTCAAGAATTAAGTTTGTATATAACTATTTTTGAGAATTAGATTGCAAAATTGAAGTCTATTTAGAAATTTTGAGATTAGTTATTATTATTAATTTTTTGTTAATTTGACACCGTACGTGTTTCACTATTTTTTTTTTTTTTGTGTGTTTATATTGAATCCATAACACCAAGAAAAATAATATTGTATTCTATCTAAAAAATTAAATAACTCGATATATATTTTGACATATTTGAAGGAAACACCGTTTGCGTACAGAAGTCTTTTGCAAGATCAAGATTAAAGTTGAAATGAATTTAACCTCTTTGGATCATGTCAAGTTCATTTCAACTTTAATCTCCTCGGATCCAAATTCATTTCTACTTTGTAAGATGCTCTAGTTGTAAATGGTTAAAATCGAAGCACGTTGTTAACTTTTAGAGTGTGTTTGATTGATATGGAAAATATTACCTAGAAAAGAAAATATTTTCCATCTTTTGTGGAAAATAAAAACCACCTCTACCCAAGGAAAATATTTTCCTTAAAAACAAGGAAAATTAGGCATATTTTCAAAAGTTGGAAAATGTTTTACATGGAAAAAAATAGCAATCAAACACTCTAAGTGAAAATTTGGATGGAAAACTAATATTTTCCATGGAAAATAAATGTAATCAAACACAAGTGAAAGTTCATGTTGAACAATCAAGTTGGTCTCCCAATTTTTTTCCAAATTAGTCACTGAACTTAAGTAATCGTTAAGATTTACTTATTTCATCCATATTCGTAAATTTGATTAACGAAATAATACATGAGTCCAATTAGCAAATAACTAGACCATCTCATCACATTTTTAAATCAAATAAATTGGGGCCAACTTAAAACAAAGTTTTAATTCAGTGTCTACCATAGAACAAACTAAATATACACTTTCGATAAAAGGTTTGGTGACAATAACTACAATGTATCAGACAAAAAATTTGAGCTTGCCAAGTATCTCAAACATTCCACGATAAGAAAATTATCAAGGTGTATTTGAATTCTGCAAAAGAATATCTTATAATACCAGCGTGCCTTCATGTCAATGCTTACTTGATAACCCCTTTACTTGACAAAACACGACTTTCGACGCCTATCGACTCTTTGAGTCGCATTTCCTATAGTTGGACTGTTTTTGCACCCCGCGCAGCACTATCTCACTCCTTTCAACTACCTTTCATAGACTTCCATCAAAGTCTAGACATGATCAGTTGCATTTTTTTCTCCAACAAAGCTTGTAAGGGCTTGGACACCCGAATGCAGCCATGTGCTACACTGGGTGCCGACACACTCATCTATTCACAATATGTATCTTCTAGCTTGTCTGCACGCTCATGCACAATACACGGTTCTCTCAAAGCATATTCGTGGAAAATGAGCTCTCCTAACTTCGTCCAAAGCATTAAGGGTTCTCCGCATGCCCTACAATGCAATTCTTGTATGCATCACTTCCGACGGGCAATTTACCTTAATGGATGTCTTTATGCCTTTCGTGATTGCCTCGCCCAAGTAGGGTCACGTGCTAATTCGTAGCAAATCAGAAGTACCTTCATAGCATAGCTGTTCCCAATAATGATATCTTTCCATATTCGTTCAACTAAGAGGCCTCAACCCCATGATTGTATTTCTAGCTAACAGACCCTCGCGACAAGGCCGGAACACATATCAATGCACATGAATAGCACGAGTCTAGCTAACCCCTTTCCAGATTCTCTCTTTAATTTATGATTCACTTTGCTTATTAATCACAATGCACAAGGTTGTAACTTTTTACCGAAAATGAAAATGAAACACGAGCACAAGCGCAAACATAAACACAAAAACGTCAAATAATATAACAGCTCATGATAACATTTATGCTCTAAATAACTTGTCTCATAGAAGAAGACTGAACTTTAAAGGGAAATAGAACGCAAATTTCCAATACACGAAATTAATGCTCCAATTAAAACAGACATCTATCCTTTATTTGTTAAAACATTATTCAAACTCGTCCTCGCAAGAATTAAAAAAGAAAATGTATATTGAGCAGTACAATTATAGCTTGAAGAAAGTGTGTTGTGTATATGTATGTATATGTATGAAGCTGTTTTCTGTCGTTAATACCAACGGACGATTGGCCAAACGGCAAATTTCATCATCCCTGTTTTGCAATGAAATCCGTTGCGTTCGCCACAAGCAAAATAATAAGGCTGCCATCTCTTAAGCACAAACTCGAAACCTTCTCCTCCTCCTCGTGTCACTTGTGCAATCTTCTGTGCTTTTCTCAAATCACAATTTTGGAAACTCCAGAAATTTGACAGCAGGTAAACACTGTGAGGAAATGTGGTGTCATTTGGGGGATCAAACTTGAATACTGCACGCATGCAACAAATCAATATCAGTAGTTTAGATATTGGAAACAATAAGCAAGATATAAGAGATGGAGTTCTTCATCCTAACAAAGTTAATCTTTTAATATGGACTTATTATTCGACAATATTTTAACATAAATAACTGACATCTAATACAAAACGTAAACTCGACATTGAAATGGTAACATACCAAGTGTGTCATTCAAGTAAAAGGGGCCATTTCTGATAGCCCAATCAGTATAATTAAACCCAAAATGCCAATTCTCAGAACCGCCAACGATTATTCTTTTCGAAGTTTGATTTGCATTCCATTGTCCATAAGGCCAGCCTGCAGTGTGATTCCAGTTTCCATTCCAACCTGCACTGAAATTCTTGTTGGCCATTCCAATGCCAAACATGGATATGGCTACAAGAATCAAAAGGGCTCCTGAATTTCCCAATCCCATGTTATTTTTTCCTCTCTGGTAAATGTACTTCTTTAATGGGAGTTTACAGGAGTAAATTTGATGTGTTGATGTAATGAAGAGATAGTATGTGGCATTTTATAGTAAACGTGTGCAGGAATTAAGTCAAAATGCACGTAAGTTGGCAGAAATCAGACACAAAAATAATAATAATAAATAAATAATCTCTTAAGTTGGTTGGTAAGACGGAAATTTAATAGTGTAAAAGGTTGAATTTTAGAAGTGTTTTTTGTTACATTTTCCAGGTCAATATCCACTTAGGTTGCAATTAATCCTATTTAGTATATATTAAAAATCTTCCATTCATTGTGATAAAAATAAACAAAAATTCCACAAGAGTCAGATAGAATGGTTCGAGAAAGAATTGCTGCCTATCATTCTTGCTTAACCTACTTTAATTAAGTCCTCGTTTGTCATTTTTTAACAAATTAAATTTTTTGATACAGTAATATTCTTCATCACACATTCACACATTAAAATATTCTTCACATACACAAACCAAAAAATATTATTCAAAATTCTATAATTTCTCTCATAATGGGAGACAGACAGGAAATCGGGAATATTACGGTTTCTTTTTTTTCTTTTCTTTTTTTCCAGGGGAAGTTTGATTCGTTGCATAAATTTGATATTTTGAATATTTTTTGGCATTCATTCTTTAATCTTAATAATACAAAGTGATGTGATTATATGAACCAACAAAAAATGGGTTTGAGTCAGCTAGTGTGACACAAGTTTAACTTGGATCAATTAATCAACAAGTATAGATTTTTTTAATAGAATTAGTATAGAATGTCTTTCCTGTAATTTGCTATTGCTAAAACTATTTTTGATAATAGCTAATTACAGGAAGATAAATGTACAAATTTTATAGAAAAAATCTATACTTATAGCATCGTTCAACTTGAATTGTCGTAGAATTGCTTGCATGGAATGGAGATTTACAACTTACATTTAGAGGAAAGCTTGAAACATTCTGTGTTACAGTTAATAATTAATTTTAAC